ACGCTGTGGGAGGTGTGGTCAGGCTGGGCACAATAAGCGCACATGTAAGCAAGATACTGTAGACAGAGTGGATTAATTTGACGTACTGTGAGCCACAGCACGACGTTGTGGTGTTGAGTTATCTGCGTGTCAAGGTGGGTGGCTGCATAAGGTGGCCGGCTCAATTGCCTGGCCGACTCAATGGCCGATTACGTTATTTGCTCTTTGCTCCGGGCGGTCAGGCTTGATCCAGATATTTGAAACTGTAGCTTTCTGATTACTGTCGCCCTTTAACGCTTTCACAACATCATTTTGATGATCAAAAGCTGACTATATACACACTAGGTTCATTGTCCCGAAAATTTCCGATTGCGCTGACCTCATCGTCACTGATATGCACACTCGACACATACAGAGTTGGGTAGAAGGTGGTAGGAGGATTTTCGTTGATACAGTAGGGATGGCGGTGGTTGTAGAAGAAGCCCGTGCCCCATAATGACAATCTTTCCCTTCACAACTTTGAGACAATTTCGTGTCGTGATGATATTTAACTTGAGACCAGACGTAGCCCTTTATGAGAGCATTGACGACTTGGCCTACATAACAGAACGCTTCAGCAAGATATAGCACATCATCTTAGGAAGCCCAGAACATGCAAGAAGGCAGTCGATCCATTACAATGCTATAAAAAGCGCAGCAAAGGGTATCAGCAAAGGGTATCATAACACCTCCAAACACCTCACCATAAAGAATCGTTCTCGCTGCCTTTTTCAGCGGCCTGCGGCCGCCTCACTCCCAACCTCTGCCAGTATCTTCTCAAGCCTAGCACCTGTCAGTCACCCACTCGCTCTGGAGGTCTTTAATAAAGCACTTACGCAATACTTACTGTCCAAACAGTCTGTAGCCACCTCCCGTTCTCCTCGCCCCTCTCAATCTGGTCTTGGACCTGCAAGATTTTGTCGCCGAGCACGTTGAGCCGGCTCAGCTCCGCTAGGCTCCGCTCGCCCACGGGGCGTAGACACAGCAGATCCTCCTCCAGCAGCAGCGCGCTCAGCAGAAATTTGTCCAGTGCGATGCACAGTGAAGTTCTTCGCTGCAGAAACTGGGTGCAGAGTTGGTCCGGCGTGAGGTGGGTGTCGGGCGGAACGGGGCTGGAGGGGGTGGGGGTGGTGAGGTCCATGGTGGTGGTGCGTGATGGTGCCGTGGAGATGCAGATCTAGAGAATCATGGATGGTTGGAGAGAGATTGATGTACTGAGGAGTGTGCCTGGTGAGAGTGTGCGGCAGTGTTTAGGTGAGTGTAGGTAGGTACCGAGCTAGACTGAATTGAGACTGCGACTATGGCGACGCAAGCAGAGCTTGCATTCACGTTGAGAAATTGCGTAGGATATACAATCGAGCTTTCCAAGGGTTGAGCTTACGACGCCTATGTACTGCTGTGAGAGATTGTTAACCTCCATCCTGCTCAGATTTAGAGAATTGCAGGGACACCCACCATTGAATAGCTTCTCACATAGCCGTAGATGAATCTCCAATGATCGTATTCGAGGTGGAGGAGAGTACACCGCCCCTCTCTACCTGACCAGGCCCATTTTTGCGCGCGAGATTCGCCGTAAGTAGGCCGCCTTAGTCATCACGATGGTCTGAGATGAACACACACTAACGGTGTTACAGACTGAGCGGCTCTCCACCACAGCGCCCGCCGACGAAATGATGAGGAGAAGGAAGAGGAAGACGACGACGATGACGATGACGACAAACGATGCCTCTGGGCCGTAATATGTCTGTACCAATGAACCACATCGTCACCTCCCTCTACATCTACATCTACATCCCCAACACCCATCCTGCCGTGATCTACTGAACCCCTCCACAACCACCTCCGCAACACCCATCCCCCAGTCTCACCCCCAGTGACGGTCTGCACCCATGCCCATGCCCGCGCCGACCCAGCACAGCCCTCCTTTCGCGCAGAGCGCGCACCGCATCAACCCCGCGGTTCTGAAGAGCTCGCTCCTCGTGGACGGGATTCGCTTCATCTCGAAGAGACGAAGGGAGGTGTGAGGAGCGCACTGCGTCGCGTCGCGTCGTGTCGCGATGCGAAGTGAGGTGAAGTGAGGTGAAGACTGAGGCTGCGGCGCGGACACGCGGCGTGGGATTGGTTTCTGTTCTGCTTTTGTGATGATTTTGGTACAGGGATGGGTTGTTTGTGTGCGGATTGGATCGAATCGGGAATATGGGTTATACATATGGGAAGGTTGTGTGAAGTACGGTAGAATGCGGGCGAGGTTGTGGGGAGTGGGCGGTGGATGGGTGGGATTGTTGGGTTGAGCGGGTGTTGGGATTTTTGGAGATGCGGATATTTTCTTTTCATTCCCAAGACGGGGCTTAGCTGTACAATTTCAGAAACTCCACGCTACGGAAGAAACGGCGATGCGCGAAGACGCAGAGCAGCGTGGGTGCGAAGCCATTATGACACCATGAGTGCATCCGTGCACTCCATTCGCCGTGGTAGGCTTACTCGCTCGCTAAACGCTCCATGCAACTCCTCAAAGACGTCCAGCACCGCTACTCCTTCTCGAGGAAATCCGCAGCCGCATCGATGATCCCCGCCGCGATGCCAACCCACCTCTGCACCTTCACGGCATCGCGCTCATCCACGCCCTCGACAATGCCGGGAAAAGTTGCGCCCGCGTAGCCCGTCCACTTGCCCGGCGCGAAAACAATGTGCTTGAACCACGGTCGCTCATCCAGGCCCTCGGGGTGCAGAAACTTGCGCTCGAGAAGTTTGTACTTTGTGTTCGCGTTGCGGATCGCGAGGAGGAGGCGCAGGCGCAGCCAGGGCTTCCACCAGGGGATAGAGAGATTGTAGTAGTCATCCAGCAATTGCGCAGCGAGGCCGTCGTGGATCGCGGCTGCGAAGGAGAAGTGGGATGCTGCGTGCTCGAGGGGCTGGAAGACATGTTCCTCCGCCTTCCATTCGCTCTGCTTTGCCTTTGCCTTCACAGAGTCGATGTACTTGTCCAGGCCTGTCGCATAGTCGCTTGCTGAGAGCTGCAGGACCGGTGTCTCGACGAGCTTTGCGGCGACGAGCGCCCAGATGCGTGCGATAGTGGCGTGATACTGGAACCCGGGGTCGCCGAATCGATTCATCCAATCGAAGGAGTCGTAGTTGCTGTGGTAGTGATACACGGGGTCGTTCAGGCCCTCGCCGAAGCCCATGTCGATACTCGGGATGCCTGCGAAGTCCTGGAAGGCTGTGAAATCGCTCCCGGAGCCCATGGTGGCGATGTGCTGGTCCCACGTGTCGTTTACACTCTGACCGGGAACAGTCTGGTTGGGCGATGCGACGAGCGGGAGCACGTCCTGTACCAGGCGGCTGAGCAGCGGCGCGGCAGAGAGTTTGAATGATGGCCCCCCCGCGCCCACGTCGACGTTCAGGTAGGCGACTGCGGATCCGGAGAGCCAGGGGAGAAATTCCTCGACCCACTCGGTGCTGCCAATGAGCCCGTACTCCTCGCCATCCCAGCTGGCGAAGACGATAGTACGGAGAGGTTTCCAGCCCGATTGAAGAGCGATGCCAAAGCTGCGGATCACTTCATTGAAGGCGGCGGAGCCGCTGTTGGGGTCGGCTGCGCCGCCGGCGATCCAGGCGTCGCGATGATTGCCCATGACGATGACTTCGTCGGGAATGGTGCCGTTGATGATACCGATGACGTTCCAGAGGGGTGTTGTGACGTACTCTTGCTCGTTGACGAGGTTAAGGGTGAGGCCCGATGGGGAGGGGCCGATGTTGTATTCGACGCCCTTGTAGTCGAGGCCGCCGCCATGCCACGACTTGCTGAACGAGAAGGCCTCTGGTCCATGGCCATTCAGGGCCTTGAGCAGGGGAAGTGCGTCTTCATACGAGATGGGAAGGGAAGGAATCGAGGGAATGGCGTGGTCCGCAGGCACCCGCGGAACTCCGGGCTTGGATGGGTAGCCTGGTGTCGTTGGGTCGCCGGGAGCGAAGCCTGGAGATGGTCAATACGTGACACGTAGGACGATAGCTTCGACGACTCACTCAGAAACTGCACACTGCCTCGCTGGACGCTACTGGGCTCGCGTGCCGGGCCGTCTGGGTAGGTCTTGTTGCCATTCTTCTCGGTGACATCGCCGTCATCGCCAGGGTCGCTGTACATGACTACGCCGACCATGCCGCACTCCTGCGCACGCTTGACCTTCAGGCCACGGAAGACGCCGCCGTACTTGGCCAGCGCAATCTTGCCCTCGAGGTCAATGTTCGCGGCCTTCAGATCCTCAAAGTCCTGGTACGTGCCGTAGTTGACAAACACATAGCCGGCAGTGACGTTGCCGGACGCGCTGTAGCCGTGGAAGGTGGGGACCCTGTCGGCCGACTGGCTCGCCCTGTCCTTGCTGAGCACGTTCTCCTCGAGTCGCGCCTCGAACTTGACCACGTCCTTCTCCAGCAGAGCCAGGCGGTGGCCCGCGGGGTAGTTGATGTAGACATCGTAGTCGACAATGCTGCTCTCGATGCCAAACTCCTGCCAGCGCTCCTTGGTCCACAGCGCCTGCGTCAGGTTCTTGCCGGCCAGATGCGGCCCGCTGGTGTAGTACTCACTCCACTCGCGCGCACGTTCGGCGTCGGGCGTCTCGAGCAGGATCGCCTGCAGGTCATCGTAGTCGAGGCTGGTGCGGCGCGACCAAGCCTCGGTGATCTTCCGCGACTGTGCGTGCTTGTGCAGAGCCGACAGGTCGCTCTCGGACTCGGCCTGCCAGTCGAAGCCGAACAGCAGGACCGCGACGAGACCGCCGGCCAGCATCAGCGTAGACAGTGCCGTCGTGCACCAGAAGCGCAGGCGGTGGTGCGGATAGCGATCGCGCACGTACGGCCGCACCTCGACCGTCTGTATCAGCGGCGTGTGCTCGGTCGCCATGGCAGGCTTCTCATTCAGCGAGCTGCCCTGCATGTATGTAGACAAGGAGCTGCACCACCGTTCCCACGCGGAGTTGTGAGAGAGACAGCTTGTTACCCTTCACAGTTGAAGACGGCTGCGGGAGCATCTGCAGGTGGAGCACGAGCGGTGTTTAAATAGTTAGCGGCTCGTACGTCACCACGCTTCTCCACACCTTATCTATCGCGTCAAGCCTCACCCCAGCCATCACCATCCCTCTTCGTCCAACATGGCATCAAATTCATCAGAGCATTGTCGACAGAGCTCTCCAATGGTATCCCCCTCAAAGTTCCTCATCACCATAGGTAGCCAGAACGTGCTGCAGTCCAGCAACCCCGCCCTCTCCCACCGCGGCGGGCTTCTCGGTCCGAACATGGCGCCCATCATCTCTGCAGGAGCTTGTCTGCTAAGCTGCTTATCTTCTCTCGCTGAGTCATGCTCATACGGGCCGACTGCGCTCTTCTGCGAGATATAATGTGAGATAATTTGTCTGAGCGATCGTTGTTCGTGGACGGGTAATCGTCTCTCTCGGTTTCTAGTTCGCATTCGCAGCCTTGCTTAGTGATGCACGACACGACCTTCTCTGCGACTGCTTGCTACCCATCTCTGATTGTCTTGCTGAGTCATTTCATTTTTTGCAAGACATTACGAACAAAGAATCTGGCCACGAAGAGACCCATCAGTCATATCGAACGTCGGAGTCTACGTCATGTTCGACCATGTTTGCCATCACACTAGCGCCGACGCTGTCAGCCTTGCGCACGACTGCGGCAGCGCATGATTCGTTCTTACACGCCCTCTCCAGACGACTGTTGGGATTCAACAGAGGTTGTGGAGTTGACTGCGACAAAGTAAAGCATGTGCAACTTCGCTGTACATATGGTGAGCAGGTCAGTTTAGACCACTGATCGTCTCGCCCCTGCACGAGGCTGTATATCAGCTGGGATTTCGAAAGGGGTCGAAGGTGGGCATGCATTTTAGAACAGGAACAGGAGTCTATGTTTTACGATACATCGCTGCACATAGCCTGTTGGCTAATAAAATGTGGCAGCGATTTCTTACTTCTTTTCCACACTCTTCTTCCTCTTATCCGCGTCGTCGCAGCATCTACAGTGACATTCAATCATCCATTCTTCTGGTCTTCTGTCCCCATCTCGAGGAACCATGTTCTCGTCGTTCCGTGTTTGCCGTCTCACCTTAGTACCCGCGATCGCAGCCTTGCGTGAACCGATGGGGCTGTGGCACAGCACCGCTCGGGCCGCTCCTGGCCAGTCACGAACGCCACAAAACGTCAGCAGTATGGTATGGCAGCCATACACAAGGAAGAATGTCGCACACTGATTGCAGTGGCTGGACTGCGCCGTATCAGCCTTGCAAGTCGCATCTACTGCATGACAGTGACGTATTGAGAACCATCTGACTGGGCAGGATGAGCAGGCATCTACGAAAAGTTCCTCGTCAACTAGTCGGCCAAAGTTCCTAAGTCGTCTTGCATTACTATTTTTGTCCTCAGGCTGCGCTGAGTGCTTGAGCTCAGCCTCTGCGCATGAATCTCTCTCAGTCCGTTCCTAGCTTGACTTGTCTGTCAGCCTTTCGCAGAGATCATGTGGGAGAACGCCAGCAGCATGTATATCTCCCGCAGCCTTGCCCTGTGACATGCATCCCAGAGTACAGTATCTTACGAACAAAGCATTGCATCCTTCCCAATCATGAGTCACGCTTCCGCATCGACGTTGGACCACCAATGGGATTCTTACGGCATCCTCAATGTGCAGCGCGACAGCCGGTGCGTGGGCTGGGCTCCCTCCATGGGCCGCAAGTGCCGCAACGTTGTCAACTGGCGGGACATGGAGACTTTCTATTCCCTCTTGACCGAACTATCATCACAGCCCATGGACCCTATTGTTCTTCAAACTCGCCTACGGGAGCTAGCATCGTTGGGACTGTGCAGACAAGTTCACCGCCGCGCGCAAATCGACCGCATGGTCGATACCTGGACGAGAAAAATCAGAGACGTCCATTGGACGCAACTCCAGGTGGAGCCGCTGTACAGCAGGCCGGATACCAGGAGCAGCACTACGTCGTTTGCTAGCACAGATCCCATTCATACTCCGGCTACTCGCAGCACTCGAGCATCAGATCCGACCGTCTCTGCACGCTTATCTCATACAGCGCAAGCGGAAAACGATATCTATTCGACGCTTCTGTGTCTGGAGGCGCTTCACGAACAGCAACGCATTCTGATGCTCCGCCTGGCAAGTCTGCAGACGCCCAACGCTCCACGTTTAGATACCATCCGAGCACCTGCACGCGTGAACACTGAATCGGTGTCCTCTCGACGTCTTTCGGATACGTCGAGTGACGCCCCGTCCCGCACGCTGCGCAGCCAGACTTCCTCAACGTCACACCGCTCCGCTGCGCCTCGGACACCTTCCCAGTCTACCCTGAGGTCGTCATCGTCGGACTCGTCTTCCCCAGACCACCGTAGACCACCATATGACTCCTCAGACCCACAAACCTCCCGTTCACGACGTTTTGTAGTCCCCTCGCCAAGCCCCACTGCTTACGCGCCTACAGCCATGAATGCCTCCACGGCGACTGATACCGGTCCCAGGACCGCTCTCCAGGAGGGACCAGACGCGCTGCGGCAAGACTTCCTCATGGCACAGATATTCCACGACGCCTTGAGCACCACCTCGCTGTCTTCATTCCCACACTCCACCGACAACCGTAACGACACAGCATCACCGCCTCCCTCCGCGGCCTCAATGCCGACAACTTCCCCACCGCCCTCCTGCACACGTACACACGTCCGCCGCCTCCCCCTCTCCGGCGATTGTCCAATCTGCTACTCAGCCATGCTGCCGGCCGAAGGGCTCGTATGGTGCAAATCCGTCTGCGGACAGAGCGTGCACGCCTCGTGCATGGAGGCTTGGCGCGCTAGCCTTGTCACGGGAGGACGGGAGGTGCGGTGTACGATGTGCAGAAGTGTATGGGAGGAGTGCGGGTGCTGAATCGCCTTATTACTGCGAATTGTGGGGTGTGAAGGGAGCGAGAGCTTAGATTTGGGATTTTGGCTCAAGGATGAGAAGTTCACTACCACCATTACCGGTACAGCACCAGCTCTTCGGCCAGCAACAACGACGCCAAAAGGGTCAAGGCTAAGAGACTCAAGGCTGTTAAAGAGTTGCTGGCCAAAGCGGATGAGGTCGAGGTCAGTGGAGAGCAAGATTCGGAGGGCGACGGAGCAGCTCCCGTCGAGTCTGTAAACATTGCACTGTGTTTGAGGCTGCCGCCCTCTGATTGGCCAGCTCGTTAGTTCCCGCTCCCACACACACATGTAGATAAGCGCTCTTCCGTAGTAACAAAATACACAAGATCGCCCACCTCATTCATCACACTGGCAGCGCAGTCTCTATCGCTTCTCTCCAACCGGGGTCATCTGGATATGATCAACGCGCTGAAGTAGGCCCAAGGATCTCGAAACCATGAACAAGAAGGTGAGAAAGGCCGGAATTTGGGAGTTGGTGGCCACAGTGCGCAAAATCCACTACAATACGAATATTGAATGATCATGACGATTATCATACCTACTCTGTGGCTTCAGGGTCGGATATCTGCTCCACCACCAACCCCTTGATCGCCCTCTGCAGTCCAGGAATACTTGGCGTTTGGAAGATCCTCCACTCTTTTGCCTCGAACTCAGCATCAGTGATCTCTCCCAGCTCGTGCTTCTCGATCTCGATAACATACTCCGTCCAGTTGTCCTTGCCAAACGCCATCTTGATGCTTTCAAGCTGCGGCGTAAGACTGTACTCGAACCGAGGTAGCGGAAGTTGAGGACGTTGGAACTGTGGCAGTGTGTCGGTAACTCGTGCTAAGGCTTGCGATATAGATGCTATAGACAAAGGACTGAGCTTCTCTGCTCTATCGGCTTTCATGCTGAGAATTCCCGAGTCGGATCCAATGACTTTACGCTTCTTCGACGCCTGCGCAAGGGCCTTCAACGAGCCTGTTGGTAGCGGTGTGCCCGGTCTGAATACGTCTCGCGGTAGTGCTATGGCATCCTTCGCAGAGTTTTGTGAGATGTTATGCGATGTGGTTGATGTGTCTATTTTGCGGGGCTCTTTGAGGTCTTTGTCCTTAGACTTCGGCTTGGGTTTTATCGGCTTTGGTCCTATCTTTTTTGAAGGACTGGATATCGTTGGAGTGGAAACGACAGTGGCTTTGCGTGGCGCTTTGCGAGATATCGTGTTGGGAGGGAGGCGGCTCTGTGTTTGAGTCGCTGGCGCTGAGGTAGAAGGCGGCGCATTCGAGAGGCTTTGATCCATAGTGGCGTAGAATAATGTCGATGATTGCACTGTCAGTAGAATTATGGTTACTCGAGGACTCGATCTGTTGAGAACCAACTTGAGACGCAATGATACAGTAGTCGATGATCTCGCCGTTGGATGAACTATGTTGCGTCCTGAGTTTAGACTGCTGAGATTTATACAGCCACGCGGTGTACGTGCAAATCTCGTTACCGGTGTATATGGAGGCTACTGAGGGCTACCTTGTGCTGAGCCCTAGTTGAACAAACCCTCCAGCTGAGTATCAGTTTTTCGTGTGCGTCCAGAACCCCTTCGCGGAGCATCCGCCATGTCTGAATGTGATTACCTGGCTGTAGGCTGGATACAGCTCTAGAGTACGTGATCACTGAATGAGGTAGCGGGTGTAGGTGCAGTAGTGAGGGTGGACCGGTTTGAGACGTGGTGCGCTGCCGCGGTGTATGGTGGTGAGTGAATGACGGTACGGTGTCTGGTAGAGGTCACTGCTTGATTTCATCGCGCGCCTGCCCTTGCTGCTGAGCTTTCTTTGGAAGATGATCTGGTAGCGTGTAAACTGTGGAAGGCAACACGATGGAGATTTGGCCGCGACGTGGGTGAGCTCCTGCCATTTCGTCGAGTTTGTTGACGCACTGCTCGAGAGGCACCTTCCACAAACATCCGAAATTCCCATGTTTGAGCATATTTGGGTAGGATTCATTTGTGCGACTTATATTATTACATGTAGTTGACGTAATAAAAGCTCCTTCTGGCGAGGTTCAATCGTCGCATTCCGTTTGCGACGCAACCGACCACCGTTTCTCCGCCCATCCACTTCAGTTAGCATGTGTGCTGGGCACAGGTGCATACCTCGCAGTAGTCCCAGCCTTATCATAACCTGGGCCATGAGGTCGTATATTCTTTGTCCACCCGTCGCTGCTCATCGTGAACTCTTCCTTCCCGCCTCCTGCGATCCAGATTTTTGTTGGCTCAGATTGATCAGCAATCTCTTGTTCTGGCGGCCCGTGGCCGTGATAGCTAGTATATGCTGAGCGTATATCCGGACCACCTTGTGCTGACAGAAGTCTGCCCACCGAAGTATGTTGGAGGAAATTGCGCATCGTCGGGGGCTTCGCGTGGCCGAAGAAGGTAAAATATGTTGTTGCGAGCGCCGACAGCGCCGTCAAAGCCAAAGTAGAGAAAGTCGGGATGCCATAGACATATTTTACTTGACACGTCGCGTGTAGCCAGTGGCCTGGGGCATCTTCGAGACAGACCTTGCTGTTTGGTCACGCTTGCGCATTGCTGTAGCTTTGGTATGTAGTCCTCTGGTCCCCAACACAAGGTTTGAAGCCAAGTCTGTCCATATCAGGTTAAGTATCTTTGCTGATTGTGGAGCGGTCCGTGAATACTCCTACCACAGGCGAAACAGAGCAAGGTTGTTCGATCCTAAATAATCGTGGAATCCGGTCAACGATGAGGTCTGGCCCGTTTGATACGCACTCCTTAACACCTGCGCTGCAAATTTTGTGATGGGTAGATTCTCGTGCGAGCTCATGGTAGAAGCTAAAATTGCGTAGCCTGGAAAGTAAAGCGCTTCATTTCGTTTAGTTGACATATTCAGTTGCGAAGCAGCTTCCGGTGTCACAATACCCCACAGAAGACTTCCATGCTGCAGCGGCATATCACTGTTCTCGACCGCCCATAGTGACTTTGACTCCTCGTTGAGGTATTCTTTATCCTCGATGGGTCCTATAGTGAGCCCATGAGATTGTTGGTACCATTGAAGATGAACGAGACAGTCTTGATGGACGCTTTTTGCTTCCATACGCGCGTGGCGATAGTGCAATATGGTTGCGAAACCCAATACCTCCATTTTTCATGTCCACTATTAGGCCCTCATCGCCAAGTAAGAGTCGCTCAAGACCCGGGTAAATATGGGCTCATATGTGCCTTTTGTATAAAGTTCAGTTCCATTGTCGATCGGAACGCCGCGGCCGTCGTCATCAATTACACTTTGGATGTGCAATCGGTACTCGATATCGAAAGGCTGACACTGAAGGTTCAAAGTGTATCAAGCCACTTTGCAAGCCCTCAATGATGCTTGAGAGAATTTTCGAGCTGTGTTAGTCTGAAGATGGGTAACTGCCTGTGGCATTTTCAAACTCAGTAACTTTGTTTGGAGAGTCGGGGCAGACATAGGGTGAAAAACCGCCGCAATTCTGCTCCAAGTACCAGAGGGCACAGTAAGAGACGGTGTACCTAAGCCGAAAGTCGACGGATCTTCGATATAGTGGAAAGATTGGGGCGCCAGATCCGTGTCTGCATTTAATCCCTCATAGAGGCCGAGTGGGGTGACGGCCGCAGCCACAGCGATAAGAACGAGGATGAAGATGCGAGACCATGACATGAGAAGCGTGCTTCTGTTCGCAGAGAACATTACCGCAGAGTCTGTCCCAAGAAGGATGGGCCATAATGGCGAGTGCAGGAAGCGACCGATGATAGACCTGCACCGTATTACTATGCGGTATAGTGCTTCTGGTGCTGAGGATCTGTAGGCACCGTACCACGACACTGCGGTCTCCGTAACTGGAGAATTTCGGAAGCGAAGTAGTCCGAGCAAGATGACAGGCAGAGCTATCGGCACGAAAATATGGACTATGAATGACCAGCCCAATGCTGTTCTGTATTGCTTGGGAACTACTTCCAAAGAAATACCGCTGCCGCGATCATACCAGATACCTGTCCAACTGTGAGATCTTCAAACTGGATCACGTTGACCGGGTGGTAAGTCGCAGTCGGTCGCTGGGACAATTGAAATTCCTCGTCAGGGCTGTCACGGTGCTCATAAGTCGCTCTATATGAAGCCATATGTAAGGGCAAGCGAGCAGATGCAGGGTAGGAGGTGATACCCGCTGATTATTGGTTGTCTGAACTCAGGCAATTTAAAGATGCTCAAGCCACTAGCCTTACAGTGAATGCCTAGAACAGAACTCACTCGCTGCACCCAGTCCAGAGAATATCATGTCTTGCGTACAAACGAGCACCCGAGCGTCTACGACAACGCCTGTGATGTGCAGACGTCTGCGAAACCCCACCAAAACGACTTCGGGGGCTGAAACCGCACGGATCTTGGCAGATTTCAGCCCCGGTGCGACGTCCGATGCTGATAAGATGGCACATAACACCGCGTGACTATCAGTGCAAGAATGGTGAAGCAAAAAAAGAAGCATGTAGATTGAGTGGGCTGCGTACCCGAGATGATTGTTCGCAGTTTGAAATTGGGTATAACGCTACAAGTTGTGCACAAGGAATGATACAGGAACAGAAAACGTGAATGTAGCAGGTAATCGAGGAAATGGCACTGCGATCTCGTGAAGGAAGTCGTGGGAAAGGATAGTGACACTTGACGTTACAGTCGTAGTGGCGTTCGGAGGCATGGATATGACTTAGCGCATGCTAAAGATACTGTTTCGGTAGTAGCTGGTCTCGTTTGTCCTTCCCTTCAACGAAGCCCACTTCGAAGAGATGCTTCGAATGCCCCTGCGATGTTGCTGGGGCGTGCTGGAGACTTCGACGACCGGGGGACAGTCAGGCAGAGCTGTGATGGCCTCGACGCTCATGATGGAGGCGGTCCTGCCGCTTGGGGGCGGGTGGAGCAGCAGAGGAGGTAGAGCAGCAGGCTTCTTGAATTCTACGACTTGTTCGATGATGTTGTCGATCTCCTCGCAGTCCTCCATGGTCAGACCCGAGAGTCGGGGTTGTCCTTCGGAGAAGATGCTTGGTGACCTGGATTCCACACTCTCGCTCGATTGGCGCACCGGCTGGGGCGACTGAGTAACAGACTCCTCGGCTTCAAGCTCGACCTCGGCGTCTCTAGACGAGTGACGCTCAGAGTCAGGAGAAAGGGCGGGAACATTGTCGAGCTCGAGCTCTACTGGTGTTGCGGGTCGAACGGAGTCGGCTATCGCATGGCCGCCTAAGTGGAAGTCGAAGTCCTCAAAGCGACTGGGTGTCTTCAAGAACTCCTGTGGGTCGCATGGCGTATCGCAATTCTCGGCGAACTTTTGGCACATTTGCCACCAGCTCTGGCTCTCTCTTCCTGGCGCAATAACAAGGCTTGCGCGCTTTGCTGGGGGCGGTGGAGGCGCTCGCTGTGGAGGCTTCAGCTCGTCTACTACTGGCGACAAGATTTCAGGTGCGCACGACTCGACCATGGTAGGTGCATCTTGCTCAAGGAACGACAGACGCGACTGAATGTCAAGCATGATGGCGCGGTGTGTGGCAAGCTCGGTCTGCACGCTCTGGAGCATCTCGAACATCTGCTGGTTGGAATTTCGAAGCTCTGACTTTGTTGTGGACGCGTATGAAGCTCGCTTCGCGCTTGTAGTAATGTCTGAGAATCTGTTCAACGTTGTGTTACCCTTTGGTAAGTACACGACATCATCCTTGCTAGTGACGTCTTTGCTGGCAACTTCGTTGATGAGCGGGGCTCTCGTAGTCAAGTTCTTGACTGCCTTTGCAGCTGCCTCTTTAGACGACGTCGCTGGCTCTTTGGGTTGAATGACTGGCTCTTTGAGAATCGCTTTGTCCATAGCTGTACCAGACAGATGCTTCCAGGCCGGGTGGTCGTGTATCGGTAGTGTGGTTCCCGGATATGAGAGTAGCGGTGCAGTTTTTGAAGAAGCCATGGTGTAGACGTGAGGTAACAAGACCAGCTTGTTGATGGAACCGTCAGATAAATCGTGCGGATGTCACAAATCACAATAAAGGGGGGCCTATCTTCCTTATGATACGCAGCCAAGTTTCATGGGCTTCCACATTCTCGACAGACGCATTCTCGCTGAAGCGCTAGTTCCGGCCGTGCTGTGCGACAGAGACTGGGTTGGTTTGACCTCCAGAGAGCAGGTGCGCAGGGACATGGCAGCCTTGCGGGGGTCAGTATGCGATTCTAGAGAGCGATGCGCAATGCACGGCCATGGTTGATTGCGACTGTAACGGCGTCGAAACCGGTGCATAAGACTGTGTCAAGTCGCTGGATGTCGTCGCTGGTTTCAGGCCCGGACTGGCGTTTCGTCAAGAAAGGGAGACGAAGCGGTCAAGAGGGGTGACCTGGCAACGCTAAGCCTTACCGCTAAAGCGACCAATCGGGCATGGTTTGTTTCATGGATGGCGCGCATAACAGTACTCGCCCATCCTAAGGGCATGAAATCATCAAATTTCCATCAAATTTGCAATCATCTTCTGCGTGATGGGGTTTATCCTTGTGTCAATCAATTGCAGCATCACTTCCATATGGTCGTCGAGCCGACACCACCAATAGCCTTTACCCTTCCTCCAATCTCCAACGGGCTTCCTTCCCAAACGACCCAATCGTGAGGATCTGACTTGCTTACCTCCAAACCAAGGATATTGAAGAAGTTTGCACCCACGAGATCCAGTGCTTCATCGAAAGACAGCCGGCCTTCACTGTTCGCGAGCGCAATTCCGGCGAGCAGCCCTAAGTCTCTAGTCTCCCAAGTCTCTTCAACGCCAATCCCCAGATCAACGCCAGCATCAAGAAGTATGTTGGTCGACACATTGGTCAGTGGTGGGCCAGTGAGTCCACGGCGTTGATCCCAGCTTTGCGCATGTGGAAGTAACGGCGCAAGGACGACAGCGATGTTCGATGCTGCGAGTTCGTCTGCGATAAGGTGTGCCTCCGCGCCACCGATGATCACAATACGAATCTTCTGTGAGCTGGCGGATTCAACCTGAGACTTCAAGCGGATGATGGATGCAATCGTGTCGGCACTATGTGCGCTGAGGACAAGTGCAGAGTCTCCAGTGACTACTCGTTTCAACCAAGCCTTCTCCGTGGTGTTCAACTTTTCTGTGTGGCCATCAACCGCTGCGTCGAGCAGCTGCGACCTCAACAAGCCAATGGCGCTGGATATGCTGGGTGTCTTCCCACCCTTGGCGGCCAACGTCAATGGGTAGTGCAGGGCCAGTTCTGGGTAGAGGATAGCGCCCTCTTCCAGCGCATTCTTAGCCCCGGTGTTGAATGCGACACTTACGCCTCTAGAGTCGATGCCACCCTCTCCAGGGGCTGTGAAAGCTCTGATAACGCCATGTTCAAATGCTCGCATGAGCTGCTTGCCACCGAAAGAAAGACCATCTAGGGCAGAGGTGGTACCTTGCTCGACGTAAGGTCCGTCATGGGTGTCGCTCTCAGCATCAATCTCGGCTAGACCAAGCGATGAGCCAAACGCTACCAGTCCTGGCGTCAAATAACCATCTTTCAGGTTGATCGTCTGAGTAGCGGAACGGGTCGCTTCAAGCTCTGCAAGTTCGGAAGTGCAGGTTCCCACGCAAGCAAGCTTCCCATCAGTAATAATGGCCACGCTGTGCTTCTGACTAACGTCTGCTCCATTTGAGACAAAGCTGCTATGCGAATACGATAAGCCAGTGAATACCACCGCGCCCCTGGCTATCCTGGTGGTGTACTCATGAGCAAGGTCTGTGTCTGGCTGAATAGCTGGCGTGAGTGGCTTCTTGAGCTCGATTGGTTCCGAGAACTGCTTCGCGCCATCAATCCAGACCTGGACTGGTGTAGCACCTGCACTCAGCGGATCAGAATCCCAGACGACGATGTCCGCGTCGAAGCCGGACTTGACTTTTCCAATCCTATGACCTAGACCGAGAAGTTCAGCGGGTGCAGAAGTAACGCCTGCAAGTGCTGCATGGTATGGTAGGCCGTAGCCGTACGCCTTTGCTGCCTCGAACACTACGTGCTGTGAGTTGAGCACTGGGTTATCCGATACGTACGTCGGAGTGATGTTGTGCGCATACAGGATCGCACCAGCCCGTTCAGATGCAGTGTAGGCTTCCACTTTGTAATACATATTGTCGGCGAAGAGCGCTGCTGCTGGCGTTCCGCCCCAAGTGCGCTTTAAGACCTCGGGTACCAGATAGGTCTGGTGTGCGTGATGGAACGCGTACACTCGGAACTTGAACTCATTTGTATGTCGAACAAACGCCTCCAAATCTGGAATTGTGTAGCAGTGCGTGTTCACTCGGACCTGACCTCTCAGCACAGCACCAAGTGTCTCCCACTGTAGATCTCGACGGAGGTACGATTCCATCTTGTCAACACCAACCGTATCAGCCTTAGCGCACCAGTCGTCCTGATCTTGTACGTAGGATCGAGCTTGCTCGAGCGCGTGGCGAAACTCCCACGCTTCTCCCAGTCGGCTAAACGGACCGCGTTCACCAACCTTGCCGTACGCTCGCTTTGGGTTCTCTCCGCATGCCATCTTCAGGTACCGCCAGGTTCGGTCAGGGTCTGCGATTAGATCTTGCTGGCTGATCTCGGTCCGGCCGTTCTTTGGCCCAACTGCGAACTTGAGCACGAAAGCTTCGCCACCAATGTTGTTCCCACTGCCTGGTAAGAAGAGGCTCGTGGTGACACCGCCAGATTTGATGGACTCGAATTCGGGCTGAAGCGGGTCAATACCATCAAGCGAGCGCACATAGGGTGTGATGTCAGAAGAGAGCTCATTGTCGTCGCTTTGCAAGTTTCCAAGGCTTTCCAATCCAGCGTGGCTGTGCATATCCACAATACCGGCTGTGAGCTGTCGACCGTTCGCCTCGAAAATTTCGGTGTTGTGGGGAAGGTCTTTGAGTTTTATGCTCGGTTGAACGCTGATGATCAAGCCCCTATCAGTGAACACATCTGAGGCAATCCAGCCCCATCCCTTCCCAGCTCGTGCATCTTGTTCTGAAGTACCCGTTGCAGGCTCTCCAGTCCAGATTGTGGCGTTAGAAATCAAGACAGGTTTTGTTGATTTGACCCAGCGTTTATTGTGGTCTCGGTGGGCACCTGACTCAACGGGTTGATGTCTCAGATTTGCGCATACCGCATGGTCTTCTTGCAGCTTTGCGATGGACAGGCTGCTGATGGGTGGCTCGGTATTGGTGGCGATTTTGAAGGTCGTATAAGCGAGATATGTCATTGCTGCCGCCCCGAGGACCCGTAATGTCTTCCGCTTTTGACGGCGATGCAGCCATGGATGTGGTGTTGTCGCCGTTGTAGCATCGTCGTAAGTAGGTAGGGCTTCTGGGCGACCCATGATGAATCGGGGCCGCAATCAAACAAACGTTTGATCCAGAGCTCTGTGACAATAGGAAGTAACTTAGTATTTCGGAAGAAGGAGGCGGGTTCGGCTTTGATAAGGTACCCAGCCCCGCGCGATTTGCCGTCACGCAACGCGCGATTGTAATGACGGCACAGGGAATCGTGATACCGCACCCACTTTTCCATTTGCCCAGACGCTGGAGATGACGGCGCTAGACGCTCTATTTGCACTAGCGTCTGGACTAGCCCGATCAAGCCGACGCGTTATGGAAACCTTGGCATCTACGCTGAGGCTGCTGCTAACGTCAACTTCCATCTTTCATTCCACTTCCCGCGTTGTGCCAACGAACCAGCTCCTCGTCTCCCTCGCTTGCATTCTGATCTGTGGATTCGCGCAAAGCGGAAACGTCAGCACGATACTGCACTCCCATCGGTCTGAGCCGCAAATTGCCTGTATCGTCTTCTAGCCTCTTGAACCCATTATCGCTCACCCTTCTTGGACCCTTGGCTTTCGGATCAGCCTCCACAGGCGTTTTACTTGATCCGTATGGTGTTGCAGTAGATCGGCCAAGGAGCGGCCGCATCAAAGGGACAGAGGCGAGAACCACTGCAAGACAAGGCTCGATGCCACTGAAGATGTTGGCTTTGGGGATTGTGAAAGTGATGTCGGTAAAGTCCATGGAAGACAGGACAGAGATACGGAGGGCGCTGATGACACATGTGCTAATATTGGTGAGACTGGAGCATGTGATGTGTTCCCTTTGCTCGACTTACAAGATATCTAAGCCGAAAACAGGGACAAAGAACATCTTGTTGTACGTCGCCATCTGCAGTTAATACAGCGGCTTCATGGGCAGGAGAAGCACTAATATGTCGGTAACCAAGTTCATGACGCCGGTTAACCGTGAACGAGGTAACCTGGTCGCCACAGCTTCCACCCGGGATCGTCTTGTCCCAGTTGAATGCGAAAGGTCGGCAGATCAAACAGCCAGCGAGGATAGTCGCGATCGTCCAGGCGATAATAATGGACATGGTTGCATAGGAGCTCCAGACAATCCAAGGATATGGGAAGATCTGTAGGTACAAACACAGAATAGATAACTTGGTGCAGGTGAGGCTCAACACCCACAAGAATTGCAGAGGGATAATAAGCTGCGATAGCTTCGTAATAGGTCCGAGACCGTGTTCGAGTACGATGTCTGCAAAATGACCATAAGCAATGCCGGCTTCGAAAACGCCTGTTATGCTGATTGATTGCAGGCCAATGGCAAAGGTCTATCTTCTATTAGCAGAGTCAACGGTTCCTGAGTCTCGGAGTCCTACGCAAGCAGCGATGATGAGATAGTCGCTGGATGTCCAACTCTTGTGAGCGATGGCGTGAGCAAGCAGTCGCAAGCCCACGGCGACAAAAGCGAGGACAGGGCCGCGCCCAGCACTGCTTTCTGATTCTGTGTTTGGATGGGAAAGTTGACCATCTTGACACACAAGACACTAGACAGAGTCAGGTACCGAGCCGAGAAGTGGATGTTCAGAACTCGATGCCTGTACGCTCCGCCCTACGTATACTGGTTAGACCTGTGTGCAGAGGAAGAGTTCTTGACATCCTGCATTTTCCCTGATGAGACTTTCGTTAGGCATTCCTCCAGGGTTTTGTCAAGGTTCCTGTTCAGGGCATGCAGGCCCCAACTCAGTCATCCGCTTCTCCGGATCGGGCATGACGGTAAGTGTCTTATATCGGGTACTCACCTTCTACGGCCCGGTTCCTCGAAAAGATCGCAGATGGATCTGTGCCATCCAAACCCCACTGCCTCCGCAGCCCTTAAAGTCAAAGCGAAACGCCAGAGCCATCTCTCCGCTGACCACGATTTTGAAAGATTGCCGCCAACCCAGCTTGGAATCCTGCGGCGGTGATACAGTCCCATACTTCATGGACCATGTGCTCTTCCCTATTTGTTAAGAATCAATACGCGGCCCTTACATTCGTCAGTGATCTTGCGGTACACGCCTTCTTCGTACCTACTTCGTATCAGCCGCGAGCTAGCAGGGGTTTTAGGAATCCTTCCATTTGATCGGTTGGCTATCTGGACAACCAAGTGGGTCGGTGGAAATTGAAGTCCAGCTTGGATGCGGCTGCCAGCAAGCGCACACAGGCTGCCTGATCTCAGTCAGGTGAGCAGAGACCCCGTAATCGCAGGTGATTTTCAGCCTCACGAAGTTCTGACACCTGTAGTGTGCTACATTGAGACATGGAGTTGGACAAATACCAGGCTGGAGCGCGCAAAGAGGGGGTTTCTGGCGATTTGCATCCTTGAGGGGCCAAAGCTATTACTATCACATGCTCCATCGTCGGACGTAGTCAGGATGCGGCAAGTGGAGCATCGCACTGAGTAATGTCATACTTGGAATGAGTCTTTTGCGTCTCTCTTGAAGCCCTCTTGTCTCCTAAAAATCAACTCGAGTGCTTCTCCTGTCATGTCCAGTTCTGTTGCGGTCATCTCTCTGGCCGTGGGCGCTCTGGCAGTGCTGTATTTTTGTATAAACAACACACGCGGCCAGAGAGGAACCAAGAAGCCTCTTCAGAAACTGCCACTCATAGGTGATCTCCACCAGTCTCCAATCGAAAAGCCTCTGGTCAACTGGAGCGCGTGGTCAAAAGACCATGGCTCCATCACAGTTTCAAGGCTTTTTGGGATCGTACCCATTGTCGTGCTTAACTCATATGAGGCTGTCACTGAGCTTTTCAATCGTCGCAGCCAATGGTACAGCAACCGGCCAGCCTCTGTGAGCATGGAGATGATCACTGGTGCTAAACCAGGTCGCTCTCGGTTTACGCTAATGCATGACTACGACGATCACCTGAAGCTGCACCACCGAGTCCTCTCACCGAGCCTTGGTGCACTTGCAGCAAGTCAGTTTCAGCCGCTTATGGAACTTGAGGCCAAGCAGCTCCTTTTCGACCTCATCACTGCAATTGAAAAGTCTACCGATGGTTCCACTATCTCTACAAAGACCATCTACCCTCTACTCGAAAGGACTCAGTCCAGTGTCATACTGGCCCTCCATTATGGTATTCGCATCCCTACACTTGAAGAGCCCATTCTCCATGAAGTTATCGACATCCAAGCGAAAGTTACCCATCTCGCGGCAAATCCGCAGCTACCGGACCTGATGCCTTTCCTTCGCCACCTGCCTGCTTTCCTCTCCCCGTGGCAAGGTCCTGCCGACAGGCTCTACACCTCTCAAGTCGATCTCTACATCCGTCTTCTGCGCTGTGGGAGAGATGCACCAGGCTGGAACGCCACAAAGCAAGCCACCGCAACTGCAGCGAAACACGCGCCTGCAGACTCTCCAGTGTCAGATCTCGACCTTGCATTTACACTCGCAACATCCATCCAAGGTGGCATGGAAACGTCTCCGCGCCAGATGCTCTGGCTGTTCGTTGCAGCAGTTCATAACCCTGGCTTCATGACGCGTGCGCATGAAGTCCTGGATCAGGGTGTGGGTCGCGGTCGTCTCCCCAGATTCTCCGATCGCAACAGTCTTGCCTATATTGATGCTGTCATGCATGAATTATTTCGCTGGCGGCCCATCTCTCCAGGGTCAATTCCACGCCGTGCTGATCGAGAGGACGAATTCGCGGGCGTGAAAATCAGGAAGGGCGTGACCGTCATGGCGAATGCGTGGGCAATCAGCCGCGACGAGAAGGTCTTCAATCCTTCGCTCGGAGACGTCGAAGATTTCGTACCTGAACGCTGGCTCCATGATGGAAAGATCTGCGGTAACCTTCCACTACCTGTGTTCGGCCAGGGTCGTAGAATTTGCCAGGGAAAGCGTGTTGCCACGGACGGCACGTTCATGAATATCGCAAATTTGCTTTGGGCATTTGATATAGAAGCTGTAGAGGGTGAAGAATTGGACCCTTGGGCGATGATGGTCGTGGGCTTCATGACTGAGCCAAGGCTTTTCAAATTTCGTCTGAAGCCGAGGGGCCAATGGGTTCATGAAGTAGTACAAAAGGAATGGGCGAGTGCAGAGATGAGCTTAGAAAGACTGATGGGCCTTGCTCATGATGTAGAAAAGTAGCATCGGTTCATAGCGGATCTTATCAATGTTTGCGCTTGGTGATCGTGTGGTGCTTCGACCAAGTGGGTGTGAGACAATGGATGGACAATGTTGAGATCGAGTCATGACCAAGTATTTGACGATACAAATTTCAAAGCTATGTCTTGACTGTTGCGACCATAGATTCCAGTGAGATGTACGTACGAAAGCTTAATGTCGACTCCGTGGAACGTGATGTGGCGCCATTGTGAACACCCGCCACATCTGTCGATACGACCAGGCCCTTTACCACCTCTTTTAAAATCAGCACTATGGCTACAGCTGCTTACTATCTTGAAGCCTTGGACCTTCGCAGCGATGGGCGGTGCGTCGCAATTACTATGAGTCGCAGTTGCTGTGAAGGCCGTGTCCAGCCCTGTTCTCGAAGACGGCCGGCTTATGTACTACTAATCCACGTGAACTGGAATAGCTAACTCCAAACTTTGATCTGGAGCATCCGGAGCGATCCGCTGCCCATCCCAGTCCAAATCTGCTGCGAATTATCCGGAGAGTCAGAATCCTTAGTGAGCGGTTTGATAATGCCGTCGTGGTAGGGTAAAAATGAGGTCGCAGTGTGGCATTTAACTGCTCATTTGGGCCCTCATCCAGGTCTTCATCTTTTGCTTGTTCCTTCGTGAGAATAAAGCGCCGAAACTCGAGCACAAAGATTTGCTTATTGAAGAAGCTGACGAGTTATGGTTTTCTTTGCGAAAGGAGAAATTGCTTCTGACTGGGCTTTCCGAACGACTCATAGTCTATGAATTACTACAAGTAATCAACACATCTTCGAAGCTTACGAGTAAGCAATGAATCCGTATTTAACCGCTTTGTTCGTCCGGTTCAGAGGTTGGAAATCCAGCTCGATGCCAGAAAATTTGCGAAATGACCAGTGCGACATCTGAGCGGAGCAGAAGGGTTGTGAATAGCAGCAGTTTGTCTGACATTCAAGATGTATGTTTTGCAGGTGGCCGGTGGACGTCGTTGGATACAGGGCTGATCGTGGATCTTCGCCACGATTTCACCGCTTTGGGGGTGGTGCGGGCCTGAAGAGGAGACGTCAAGGTTCGACTGCTAGTCATCACTAGCGGCGCAAATACACATCTTCATTCGTTGCTTGGTCGTCGTGCGCCTTCTCCAAATTTCTTCTCCCACTCTTTAGTCCGCTCCCGCGCCGGCGCGGAGAACTGCGTGCTCAGACCACCTCGGCTCTTTACCTGCATCTTCTTCTCCGCCTCTTCCAGCTGCTTCAGCTGATCTTCCGCGCTTTGAATCTTCCGTTCGAGCGCGACTTCGAACATGTCTCGCCCCTTTCTTCGACCTCTGAGACCGTTGTCTTCGAGATCAATGTACAAGGCCCAGCGTAAGCCTTCTCTTCCCCAAGGTGTCGATTCGTCTTCGTCAGCCCCATCCCACTCATCGACCGCAAAGAAAGGCTCCCACTTCTGAAACAGCAGGTGAGTTTCGTCCTGTGTCCAGTCCCATTCGCCGACGATGTGCTCGATGGAACCACTGCGGTTGTTGTACTTTACTTCATATGTGTCCTTGTCGCAGTACACCCAATTCAGCATGGGCGGGTCATCAGCGATGGTACTGACCAGTCCTCGTTCTGGAGGACATCGATCTTCATCTGGATACTGAATATAGAACCCTGCGAAAGCATGCATCGGCGGATTGAATATTTTGCTGTCGTCTGGCGGTAGGGGTTTGCCTTCGTCATCGCACGGCACCACCCACGCTTTGTCGTGACGCAATATTACAGTGCCATGGTCGACTTCCTCTTCAGCGATAGGATCCTTGGAGTCGCAGTTTACGAGTATGTTGAACTTGATCATGCGCGTCTCGTTCGCAGCCTCTTCGTTTTGTTTCTTCTGGTATTCCACACCTTCTGCGATACCCGTCACGACCGGGATTGCGATGACGCAGCCACCGAGGAATAAACCAAGTGGTAAGGCCATAATTATTATGTATTGGAACGTTGTGTTGATTCGCATTGGGTGTTCTGAAGGGTGCTATCCAGGTTGATGCGCAGGGCGCTAGTTAGTTACCTACGTCATGCGCTAGTGTTTCTCCATCAACAAGTTTGAGAGCCCTCACAATTTCACACCCCACTCTGCTTTCGGCCCAAAATGATTCTGAAATGTGGACACAGGAATTGAGAGACGTGTGTCTTGGTTCTGGTGAGAGCCCTATTCACTGGATGATCGCACCGTGTCTCTACAGAGTCCAAAGGCGAGAGCCCCTTGACCAATCAAGCGTCACAGCCTAGACACCCTCATGCAATCCGTGATGAGCCCCTTCGAAGTTTGATGCGGAGGCTCTCAACTGTTTTTTGACCTGATCAGACCTCTCGAAGCTACCTTCGCGATGTTTACGACAAATTGTTGTCATGGATTGATGGAATCGGCGTAAGTATGCGGCCCCTCAGCCTCAACCATGGTAACCACAAACAATAAGTCGATAAACAGCGCCATAGACCCTTTAACGCACCTTTGGCTCTAGCCTCCTCATGGAATGCTCGTGATCTACCGAGAGTGAAGTATCGTCCGATTTGCATCGCACATCTCCAAAGGTGCAACCTGAAGGCCAATGAACTCTTTTCTTCACTCGGCTGAGGCTATTTCTCGCGAATGTATTCCACCTCTCACGGGAATTGCACGGCGCTGGAGTTCCCCATCCGCCCCACTGGATTGGCAAACTCACAATAAGCGCTGGGCCGATGATATTTTCCAGGACTACACAACATCTTCGGGGACCGATGCAGATGAACAGAACAAGGCCTGTAGGGAGCTGCAGAATCTCACTCAAAACTGTCTCGATCACTTTTACGTTCAAGAAACGCCGCACTGCTTCATGGCTTGCTCTCACGATGTCTGCGAAGCATATATGATCAGCCACTTAAACGACAATCGCGTTCGAGAACACGCGTGTAGTCAGTGCACCAAGTCGGCGCCTCGAGTGACAGTTGGCAATACAGAGACGAGACCACGGCCTAGTGATAATGCACGCCTTGGTCAGTATTCTCGAGAGATTTACGGTATGATGCAGGGAGCGGTGTACGACCTCATGAGCAGTGGAAGAATCGAGCCGTTCCCGGCATACACTGAGATCGAATACATCGAAGGGATATGTCCCTTCTCTTCAGAGCACGAGCACATTGCTTCAGCGACAGAACTAAACAGCCACACTGCCAATCGTCCAAGGGGCAATCGCCCGCCTCCATCAGAGTTCGTCAGCACCATTCCCGTCACCCGTACCTCCTCCATCGATGTGCAAAGTCTCGCCGACAAAGTTCCCTCTCCACTTGGCGATGGGTCGCCGTCCAGCGGTAGCCATACTATCATTTCTACACAACCATCGACACGACCATCGACACAACCTTCCTCAGTCGACCTCAGTGCGACACGCAGACAGACTGCAGACTCGCTTGGCGGTAGACGTGTTCGTCGCATGGAATCATGCTACTTCGGTGTCTCTGAGGACCAGACAGATACAAATGGGGAATCTCTCATCAGCAGGATGGCATGCAACTTGAGGGACGGCTAGCAGGTACAGATATTGCTGACAGACATGAGTGCACGCGCTGCATAACAAAGACTACCCCAGCCATCACGATACAAACACGAACACGAAGTAACGATCCACATTTCATCTTTACCTGTGTAGTTACCTCCTCACGAAGCGTAACGGCTCTCCTCTCATATTCACTCATGCGATTCGATCCTTATGATGGTCCTTTCAAACACTCTGCCATCGAAATGATGCAATCATCATCGACTAACGCGATACAGAAATTGCTTTGATGCTGATAGGCTATATCTCGTGTTTAAAGCTAATATTTAGTACGGACGTACAAAAGACCAATCTTGTAAACTCCGAGTCTAAGTCCGAGTAGGTCGTTCCCTCGTCGTATCGCTCGGTAGTTTGTGTCAGCCACCCCAATGTACCGCAATTGTCTCGGCTTGCCTGAATACATACAAGCGCGCTTCATGTTCGGTCTAGCGAACTCACTGCATCGTTCCTGCGTGCAGACCATCTCCACTCTTCAATAGCTCACTGCAATAGCTCACTGTAAGATTCTATCAAGTTCCGTCTTGAGGCCACTTATGTGGAGATGGTGAGCGGACTGTAACTGGTATAGATGCTGGTCGAGAAAATGGAGAAGACGTGGTGTAACCGTATCCTCGCGAGATATAAATGGCATGAGGTGTTGATGCCAGGTCGAGACGGTGGGCACGGAAGCTACATGAACAGGGCACTGGCGTGACGACCCTGGGGGAACATGCTGGACCTGGATCTGCGGCAAAGGGTTCCTCTCAAGGATGAGGAGACCATCCTGTCCCATCGCCATCCATGTGGCTGCTAAGGTAAGGACGCAGCTGAACGCCAGCATCTCCGCTCGGCGAACCTTCTCCAAGAAGTTGTCGGTACTCCCGTCCACCGAGTTCTGTTCAGCACCTGTGATAGTCGGCTCTGCCGACACTGTGGAAAGTTTGAGGACGGGCTTACCGTAGTCCGGGCTAGTAGCAGCTACGGTACAGATGAGATCGAGCTTCGAGTTACATCCAAACCATACTAGTACAATGAAAACACGACGCCAGGCACGGCGACCAGCTCCAGCCTGTAGCCTGGTGATGGTGCAAGGCTGATAAAGCATGTCGAACCTGAACTTGTTGGCGAGCTCTGCTTGTTGCTGGGAAAATGCATGTATATTCTCTGGCCTTAGATCTCCTCTAAGTATGCAGTCGGAGCCCCGGTCCGTCGTCTCACGTAACCCTTGCAAGGAATCTAAACCGATAGCGAGGCTGAAAAGTTCCTTGTAAAACGATTGTATGCCTGCGAAAGTCCTCGGAGGACTGCTCTTCATCCAGTATGTCCAGAGACTGTGTTGTGAGCAATCAAGGAGTATGTTGTATGTTGGTATACCCTCGTTGTCAACCCCTTCGAAGACGCCAGAACATTTTGTTATACCGCCATTATCAGACCTTGCTGCGACCATTAAATGTGCTGCAATCTCTTGTTCATACATTGCCTTATGCGACTGCCTGTATTGCTTTACAACGTAGGTACGAGGTTCAGCAACGCGGCCTAGTCGCATGTCGAATGCGATTTCAGCTCTGCACGAGACAGCAACTCCGCAGTTGGTTACAGCTCCGCCAAGCCACTGTACAGCAACAAGATGTTCAGTCGGTACCTGGGAAGCTTTTGATGAGTCCGCGGCAAGGCGGTGAAGGATGACCATAGTGTGGGGGAGAGACCATTGTTGCTCCAAGCCCGTAGGGGCACTGACAATTGCGCTGGGGTTGGGGCAGTGCATGCTCATGCTCGGCGCATGAGCTACGCGACTGGATTCAGCGATTGGTATGCTGGCCTGACATGATAGCTTTCCCCTTGGGTGGTGTTTCTCAATGTGATCATCTCGGTCCGCACGATCCGCAAATCGATACTGGCACAGACCACAATATGCCGGCGTCAACACTGGTGGGTTACGAATTTTGCAGTGGTCGATGTCGAGCTGGCCGTCGTGGACTCCTCTGTTGTGCTTCTGTATCTTGTCGAGTCTGTGGAAGAACTGAAATTGCTTGCGTGAGGAGTGGCCAGAGGAGCAAGTCTGGCAAGACCAGTAATCTCGAGGGAACACGGTCTCTTCATGGCGCCGTCGATCACATGACGATGCAAGCCAACGACCACAACTCAGGGTACAGGGATAGCCTTCTTCGAATCCAGACATGTGTGTGAAAGGTTTGCAGCCATTCTGCTTCCTATTTTGAATGTCATTGCTGATAGCTGCAAGAGTTACAGGCGGGACCGGAATGTCGGAAGGACCCCATCGAGGCTGATCGGGAAGCTTTGATAACACCTGTGAAGCGACACTTTGCGCAGGAAGTATTGAGGCTAGTTCTGCGTGGTGCAATCTGAGGGGAAGGTGTTTCAAATCCGGATTACGACTTGACAACCGCTGCATGCCACCGGGGTCATCACTCGGGGTCTGGGCGCTGTAAGGTGTTATGTGCTGGAGTTGCCGTGCCGTAATTTCCCTATTCGCCTGGAATCTTGATGCAGAAAGTTGGGAGTGTGGAACAACATCAAGGACTGAAAGACCCCTAAATTTCTCCGATACGTGAAGCGGCGCTGAAGACGGAGGCGGACACCGATCGGCACAACCGACGAGCCTGTCGCTGACGAAGGCTTCTGAGGCGTCGAGAATGAGTCTGAAACAGTCGATATCCGATGAAGTTGGAGTCCGACCACAATGATTGCGCCAAATGCTGAGAACGGCGTCTCTCCAATTCGAGTGGTCAATGTTGGTGGTGATGGTCATGTGACCTGCTACTGCGATCTCCATGTCGAGAGCGAGTCGCACCGATAATGACAAGCTGAGGAAGATATCTAGGGGCCAGTCGCGAGTTTTGAAGGTGAACCTGAGCTGGGTCCGGCCTAACGTGGTCAGCGAGGCACAGAGAGTTCCTTTACTGAGGGCGAGGGCATCGAAAGGCAACCGGAGGGCAACCAATCAGCGTGCAACTCGACCGCTGCGCCTCAAAAGTCCCTCGCGCCAATGTGGTCTTGTGCTTTCGCACGTCCAATAGGTCATCGTGGAGGACGCCTTCGCATGCGGAGACTTGGAGGAGTTGCAGGTGTTTCAGACGTTATGGCCGGTCGAAGGGCTGTCGCCGGTCTACGCCAAACTTGGCGATTGTGGAGAGCAGACAGCCGCGGCAACGGGTTGGAAAGAACGTTCGTGATGGCATCTACATGGCAGACAGACCGGTAAACGTCGGCAGATGTGCTGATACGTGACCGTCAGGGGTGCATGAAAAAGCAAGCCCTATCGTGCCAGGTCAAACACGCGTAGAAGACAAGATGAGGATTCATGACTCGTCTCGTACACGGTCGCTACGCCCATATGCCTCCCAATCCCATCCTCTCCAAAATACCAGCCAGATCCTTATCAACGATTTTGTCCCAGCCCCTCTCCGGTCCCCAAGTAATCCTCTTCTGGTTGAGCTTTGCTTCGTCCAGCAAGCCGTTCAGTAGTGGGCTATCCTTACTTACACTTGGATACGCGTCCATCTCAACCTCACTCACAGACGGTATCTGCGCGAGCAATGACCTCAGCAGTCCTACGCAGTACTTTGTATAGAAAGTCTTCTCGCCGGTCCTGAAGCCCTCAAAGATCTCGCTCGACGCCGGATCAATTTCCACGAAGATCCTCAGCTTATGCGCCTTCGTCACCGCGCCCAAGCCCAGCCTGCTATCCACCACCCATCCTTTCGGCGGGCGCGTGAAGCCTGGGCCAAGTCGCAGCTCCAGCCTCGTTATGAGCGCGCGGTACTTGCGCGGCAGCCGCGCAAACAGCGGGTACTTTGCGTTGATGTAGCGGCCGTGGATAGGGAAGAGGCGGAACGTGTTGTGGGCGTAGAAGACACGTGAGCCTTCATTGTGCATGCGATGATTCACGTAGAACGTTCGCAGAGATGGGGCGACAGCTCGGTGGTTCGTCGGATCGAGATCCATTGTCTTGGAGAAGACAAGCAAAAGTTCGTATACGCGCAGGCGTAGCTCGTACGGTAGGTCGAAGAAGCGGAAGGGTTTGTGGTCGTCATTGTCTTCGGCATGGAAGTCAGCGGCCTCGTCTCCGATCTTGACAGCGTTCATTTGCGCGGTAAGCGCCTCCATTTCCCTCGTCTTCCGCTGCACCATCGGTGGTGCCTTGCGACGTGCCATCGTGGCACTTCGCACACGAACGTTTCCAGTTGCCTGACAGGCGTTTATGCATACATCGTGGTTCGCTCGCCGGCGCAATCAGAAACTTCCTTGGCCAGTGCGCACGAAAAGCCTGAGGGGTGATATACGGTATGTCTCGGAGCTACGGGACCATCAGCGCATTGAATGTGCGCAGGGGTTCTTGGGAGCAAAGATTCAATCTCCCCAAAGCTATATCAACGCCAAATTCATAAAGTAGGAAGTTTGATGTCAAATTGCTTGGGTGCAACTTTCTATATAGAGAAAAGGAAGTAACGGCGGCGATCGATTCGATTTTGTCAAGACGTATTAGTCAGCCGCGCTAAGGGGCGGAGCCGAGGCGGCTGGATTACCAAGGCAGATCCGACCTCACCTCGATCCAAATATGACACCAAGGACCATGCCTCAGCTAGATGCAATTTGATACGTTTCTTACTCATCTCCCGTTTCTGTGCCCAGTTCTACTCCTTTCGAGTCAACAGCCATGAAGCTTCCGTTACGACAAGCGAGACGAATTTGCTTCTATCAGACTGTAGTCAAGCGCGATGTTAGAAAGAGCTGGCAATTGCTACTTCACTACTATGCAACTGTCACGTCACCTTCAAGCAACTCGAAAATGTTTCCACCAACCGACGTATAGCCACGATCCTATAGGTTGGTCACCCAGCAATTTTCGACTTTGTAGAAGCGGGTCACATGCAAGCGCGGCCATTCATCAAGGCACCATTGTGATGCCGAGCCCTACAACAGAGAGGATGGCGTTGACGACACGCCGCCTCCAAATGTTCACGCGAAGATCCAACGCCCGGGTTCTTAAGCTACAGCGCTGCATCAAGTCTCTGCTTGCTTTTTTTTCTCCAACGTGTACATCTCCGCCTGAGCGTCGGCTGAATTATTTGATGGAGATTGAGGGCGAGACTCAATATTCTAGCATCTTCGAAAGCGATATTGGAGATGTGCGGTATATGGTTCATGGCTTGCAGTTCGGTAGATGTTTCTTTCGTTGCTGGGTTTGAGAATCTCTTGGCTGAGCTTGTCTGCGAGGGCTTGCTCCTGGAGTTGACCTAGACCAGTGAAGTTAACGACTTAGAGAGCAAGTTTTCTGGCGCCTTGATGATATGTAGCTGTTAATGCATGCGTTGCGATGCCTTAATACGTTAGTCATTCTCCATTGACTGTTTCCTTGTCGAAGTGATACTCTGTCCGATCCGTAGGCATGCCCCATGAATCTACACAATCTCTTACGGTATGATAGCATTACATTTTCCAGTGTGTCTCATGCATCTCCTTCAACTTTTCCATGCTAATCTGACGATGCCGGTGAAGAAGGTATTGCTCACGTGATTGCGTGTCTGCCAAGCACTTTAGCGCAAAACATCGGCTTACTGCGTTGGCGCACGAGCATCATCTCTCATCACCCCTGCACCCGAATCCATGATGCGCCGCCATGCCGCCGAAGCATATCGCTCAGACCTCGACCGAAGCGAAGAAGGCCTACAAAAAGAACGGGCCCGTCATCTCCGAACGTACACATAAGCAGCTGCAGCGCGGTCATGAACTCGAGCAACGCGCGGCGCGCGAGCGCGAAGCAGAGACGAGGCGCAAATTAGCCAAGGAGAGACGCGAAGAGAGAGAGCGCAAGGAAACGACCATAAGGGAACAGCTAGGCATCGGTCTGGCGACGCAGAGAATTGGATACAGCCACACACAGGCAAATTTGAAGAAGGGGATGGAAGCGTTCTTGGGCATCAGTAAGAAGAAGCAGGACAACGAACGGCGGAGGAAAGAGCAGAAACAGGAGGAAGAAGAGCTCGCCAAGAAGCTGGAGGTCAACGAGCAGGATGTCAAGAAGGAGCCGTTTGACGATGACGATGACGATGACATGGACGACGCAATGCTAGACTTGCCAATCGCCGCTGTGCAAGACGGAGGCGGCTGGGTGGATGACGAGCTAGATGACGACACCCTTCTCGAGATACATGACCTTGTCATGTCAGATCCTGTCGACCAGCCTGTCCACAAATCGATATTCGTCCCTCCACGTCGGGCGACAGTACCGCCAACGTCACATAAGCAAAGTCCGCCGAAGTCTCAGCACTCCCGGTGCAATCTCCCTGCGCAAATGGCGGCTCCACAGTCGGCGAAACTAGGTAGCGTTAAGGAGGATAGTGAGTTCACTCGCACACATGGGCCGATAAACAAGATGGTGGAATCAGCGCTGAAGAAGATACCCGGCGAGATCATCGAGCTTTTGTCTCACGATGCAGCTGCATCTATGTCAGACTGGGCGCCGGCGTATGGACTACTCCACAAGCTCAATGCAATTGGGCTACCACCGCATAGGCTACGCATCAAAGTAGGGTGTGTGATGACATGTCTTTGGGACTTGAAATCAAGCAGCCAGCTGTCTAAGAGTCAGCATGTGCGGGTTCTGCGGGTGGAAAACGACCGGCTCGAGTGTCTCACACTAGATGGCCAGCTTACAGGTACGAAGACGGTCATTACTCGTGTACCCTTCCCAGCGAAGTACCGCAACGATGAGAAGTTCCCTTTCATAAGAACCCAGTATCCTGTACGTGTTGCTGCCGATTACGCACCAGCAGACTTTCTGAGAAAGGTTCCACAATCCGGCTTCAAGCCACCCTCGATCAATGGGCAAATGCGGCTGCCTAGTCTAGTGAAGAGGCCGAATCCACCTTCGACCAAATCAAGAGCTCAGGTCAGTAAAAATACCGACTTCAAGCTCCCGGGACTGCCAGCGCCCAAGGGACAAACTTTAGTCAGGTCGGAACCTCTGGCACCTGTGCAGTTCAACTTCCCTGCCGCATGTACGCTTGATGGCTGGGACTACTTTCTAGAGAGTAGCACACAGATTGCACGCGAAATTTCGGCGGACTCCACGCCGAAGACCATTACGCAGCCGTCGACAATCATCGAATCGGTACCTCCGCTTTCGACACAAGATCTCAACTTCTCGCTGGACGATTTGGACGATGAGCCACAACAGCCACAACGGAAGCCACAACAAATATTCAAACCACAGTCACAACCACAGCCACCAACTGTGCAAGACACAGGAATGACGAAAAGCGCGAAATCCACCGTCAACCTTCCGCTCTTAACTGTGAAAGCTGCTGTACCAAACAGAACATTGAAACCACCGCCCTCGGTTCCACGTGGACCCTTATCACGGACAGCGAACATACGCAGGGTTTGTGTCAAGTCACAAAGCATGCAACCTCCTGCACTTTTTCCGCAGAAGTCTGTCCAGCCAAGATCGAAGAGACCTATGGCCCCACCACCGAAGCCTTTACCACCCGCGAAAAAAGCTTGTATAACCCCGTCTGCTCCAATTGTCCCACCTTCCCTTTCAACGACTCCGCTCACGACTATGAATACGGCAACGGCCTCAAGACGATTCAGCGACTTCGGCATGTCCACACAAGAGGCTAGTTCGTTTTTTGACGACGATGATGAATCTGCGTTTGGGTCCCCGCCTATCGCCGTATGAGAGGACGAGTCTCGCTGCACTTGGTTACATTCTTCCCCACACTGTTTCTAGATTTTGGATATACCCCCCATTACGACGGCGTTCGCTCTTCAATCGAACTTGTGCTGTTCTCCATAATTTCCTATGCTGCGAGTCTTGGTGCAGCCTGGAAAGTAACAGATTAGGCCTTCCAGTCCCAGAAGACGTTCACATCCGCCCGTTCTCTTGCCCGACCCGTAACGCCATCAGATGGGTATATCGCACCGTGAAGTCCTCAAGGACCATCTGCGAACTGATCGGTCACGAGACATCCGAGATTTGTCTTTGTAGCCGTACGACTTCCCATACCAGACAGACACGTATATGTCTGTTACGGATGGCACGGCCGGTACGACCTATGTTGACATGCAAGTATCTTGCATGCCTAAATGCATCTCAAGCACAGCGAACTGTGGCGTAGACACGATACGCGAACCGGTCAGAGCGACTGAGCCTCCGGAAGTTGGCATTCCTCGAATTGACAATGACAATCTGACAATCGCGACGAGTACAACCCGCTTGCACCAAGGAACTATCATTCTGACTTCGCCGATCCCGTAGACGACATCGAGACCGCGCTTGGGCAGAAAAGCCTAATTCTGGAGTACCTTTACGATGCAGTTAGTGTTTTCGACAATCAATACGTTTTTGCGTACGCTGACGCCGTGATCATAGAATTCTTTAAGAGGCGCCCAAGTCAGCTCTACAACAGTCTCTGGAAAGCCGGCTGGACTTATTAATCTATGAATGGCGGCTACACGACATCGTTCTACACAAAAAATATAGGGGACAGTATAGGGGACGAACAGGCTTTGCGAAGCTCGTAGAAGCCTCCGCGGTAACGAATATCACATCGCACATGGTGCGACCGCTCGACCCGGTCTATGCCTTAGATGTACCATTAATGAAAGTCTACTTTGGCCGCAATGGTATCGTTGGTGGTGCACGCGCAGTGCAAGGCACTCCCACTACTGGGCTACGTTAACAATCTAATAAGAAACTCGGCCTTCTTCCGTTAGCCTGATTCCAGGGCGATAGTACAGGAGGAGGCGCGATCAATACTCAGAGTTTAGAAAAGTGGTAATTAAAACAACAGGTGTGGAGCGAGCAGAGTGGTGAGGAGATTGCTTCTGCGCCTGCGCAGGGAAGACGTACGGTGGAACGATGGATCGCTCAGAGACGGGCTATGTCACATATACCGTAAGCTTTTGGAATGTTGTAGCTACGATGCGAGCTATGCGAAACACAGGCGGCGGCACAGCCTGGTTGAAGAATTTGAGTCAGCTATGTACGAGAACGAGGCTGAAGGGCACTACTCGAATGTGACAATCGTACACCCGGGACCTGTGCTATCAAAGGCTGGGGACACACGGCTCCGAGATATCAGACCGCCCGAAGAGAAGTATCATGTTGCCATCGAATCAGGTAATATTGGATTTCATTGGCCGTGAAGCCTGAATTTGCCCGTAAGCTGGCACACCCTCGCCCAGATATCCAAGCGCGCTTCGGACACACAAGACACCGGCAGCAGAAACGCGGTTCAACACCAATTTCCTGTGTTCGCGATAGTGAGAGCGACAAGACATCTTTGGTTGAACCGTTGATGTGACCGCAGATAGATCAACACGCTGTAGTAGTGTGCTAATCTAGTTAGCGCCATTCGGCTCCCCAAATCCGCATGCCTCCATGAAACGTCCGACCAGCGAAACGAAACCATGACCACTTCGCATCAACACAACCGCCCACAACCAAACCCAGGCTGCTGGGGATCGACTCCGCGCGGACATACTCCGTCACCATCTTGACATGGCCTTATATGCTGTACCTGTGAACTCGCACTGACGCACTCAATGTTGTCGATGAAAGAACGTTTGCGCCGACAGCACCGCACAGTACTAATGCTATGCAGCTACAGTCAGCTCAGCACAGTCACGTCGTCTTAATTGTCGCAGTTACAAACTGACAGTCAGCCCACTTGGGCGTCTCAAATGCGATTATTCTTGGTTCTGCGTCAGACAACAGGGCCACTGTTCTCATCGCAATGGTTCGGCTAGCCGATCGGCGCGCCTCGTAGGTAGGCTGTAGCACCAACCCGGCTGCTGTCAGAATTCAGGGACGGGTCCCATACCGCAGGGCCTCCGCACGACTACTGCGCCATGACATTTCTTACTCGCGTGAACAGCATAGTGCGTTTTGATAGCTGCTATTTACGAATTGGCTACTATTCTGCGATTGGGGGGATCGTCGATACTGTACCAATGTGTAAAACCTAAGGTGGCTTTGCGGTTAGGCGAGTAGGATGAAGATGGATTATGCAGGGCAGCGTGTTTGAGGGGATTTCGAATTAGGTTGAGCATAGCCAGTAGGATTACTTTGTGATGGGGGCAGGTCTGTATATAAGATAGGCGCCTCATCACCTAAAGAAGATCATCACAACAGCTCGTCTCATCAACACAGTGAGAACACTATAAGTCACCCACAACTTCAAGTCTTCAAACACTACTCAGTTCTACTACCTCAACTTCAAAATGTCTACCTCCCATATCGAGACCTCTATCGGCAGCACTGACGCCTCCATCGTCATTGCCGCCCTCCACAACCACGAACTCATGATCAAGACCCTCTGTCCCGCACTCGTCAGCTACTCCTTCGAGTCCGGCAACAAGGCTACATCCGCAACCTACACCGTGACCGATAAGAAGCCCATTGGCCAGGTACGTTACCCGCTCCACATTCACATCACCCCCATCTGACCAATCACAGACAACATATAAGCTGACTCTCACCAACGTCGCCGACGGCGTCGACTCCCTCGTCAACGCTAAGCCTCCCGTCGGCATCCTGACAATTGCTGGCAAGTGGCGTGTTAGCGGCGGAAAGCTCACCGAGGACGTGGTCATTGATGGCAACTTCATGATGAAGAAAGTTGCCAAGGGTAATGTTGAGAAGACACACCCGGAGCAGCACACCAAGCTGCTTGAGGCTGCTCAGGCTTAGATCGGCTTTTGGATAGGAGTGTTGCAGCGATTCAGTGAGCATACTGTTTGAAGCGAGCATAGCGTAGCATAGTCTTAGAGTGCGAATTGTATTCGTCCGTTTTATCAGCAACGAGCCTTCTTCTAAACTAGCCCGGAGCCATCAGTCTCAGAGGACCGGCACACCCAGGTCGAAGGAGCTCGTTGTTCATGTTATACGCTGAGCGAAGATCCTTGTCCACTTATGTCGACATTGGGAAATCTCCTCAAAAGCAACCTGCACGATCCTCTGCCAAAGTGCTTAGTCGGGCTGCAGAAGCTAACGGTTTGGATAGCTTTAGGAGTTCAAAAATCAGGACGCCGATACATGCATGATACGACAATAATGCAGTAATACAATGAGGATCTTATATTGGGAAGTGACTCTGAGTAGGGAAAGGGGTTCGCGAGTTTGTATAGTAGTAATGTTAGAAAACCCAACCTCTTATAAGTCCGAATATTAAACATGCCTACATTGCACTCTCCGTTTCTTACAATGTAGTGCATACAGTCTTATTGTTCCATTTCAAAGGGCGACCCCCTCTGGAGGTCCTCAAGTTTACTTCGTTTCCCAATTTTTCTCATGTTTAGCGTGCATGTCTATCCTTGAGGACAATACACTGCAACTCCACCTCGCTGGACAAGAGGACATATCATAGTGGTGTCTTGCGCTGGAGGCTTTCCTTCCTCAGCGTACATGGAAGGAGTGGCGGTTACAGTGACAGTAATTGTCCGTTCCACGGATGGGTAGGTAAATCCTAGATCTGACACTCAACACATTTCACGTTCGCTTCCGCGTCCCAAAATTAAAATTACTTCACATTCCTAGGTGTTAGTTCCGACGACGTGCTTACGGGTGCAGGTTCCCGGTACACTCGTTACCGCACTCAGACATCTAATTCTCAAGGTTGCCTAACCCAGACTGCCTCAGAGGTGCTCGAGTTCTCTTAGGAACTCCAAACAATAACTCATCGACTCCCTCCCGCCTTCACCAATATACCTCGATTTGACATCTCTTTCCACAACGATCAACCGACTTTCAAATAACACGGCATCATCCTTGACTCCGTATATCCGACGTAAGCAGCGATGTCCGAGGGAGCTTACCTCGCGCGCACAGCGAACCCACGGACATGAGGTAGAGCACCAATGCACAACACTATGCCGCTCTTACTGCTATAGTCAAAATGGCATCGAAGATTTCCAAATCGGCATGGGAGCTGCTGTTCGTTTCGGGGGACTCTCGCTGTCCTGCGGTACCTGTCGCCAAAGTGCAATATCTGGCTCCCTGTGTTGAGTCATCACTGGCGTTGTCACGCATAGCAACACTCTGATACGTAGATAGCATATGTTGGAGGACTAGAGGTAACGCAAGTGGATACGGCGGCCAATACTATGCAGAGACTTGTTGATTACCAAGTGCACATGACGTGCATGTAAGGAAACGTGGGTGCTGAGAAGACGATGTACGAACAGTAAAGTCTGAAAGTTCGATAGCAGCTGAAGCGAGATTAGGGTCGAGAGTATCGATTTGAGTTTTGGGGAAGAGATGGCGAGAAGCAGTGAACAAGCCAAAAACACCAGAAAGCAAGAGCAGCCTCTTCCACGTGTTCTTCGACATACAGCGTGATGTTCATGGAGGCACTGTTGAGTCCTCAGGCACCATGGAATCTCCGAGTTGGTTCTGCATAGATCATGGGTTACACGGCTCCTGCGCCTCAGGGCAGTGCCGTGATGCCTGCTGAGCTGAGATGTTAGAGAGCGGTCATGCCGGCGACGCCCCGGGCTGCGACAGCTTGCAACATCAACTACCTGCACACCAGTTACGAGAATTGCATCCAGGTGCAACTTGTACGTAGCACACCGCTCCTGTTCGACGAGACTAAGAAATACGCCCTGATCGTCGGTGTGAGTGCCTGCGATTTGTGGCGGGCACTCGGCTCACACGGCCAGTGGGGCGCTCCTTCCAGTAGCGGCTTGAGGGCAGCGATCCCCCCAGGCGGCGAAGTTGGGCGGCATGCGCGATGATGGCGACTCAACCCCAGCACAGCCGCGCGCCCAGTCACCGTGTGCCACGGCTGAGGCCCGCTGAGTCGCAGCGATGTGTGCCTGTGGCAGTTCTGGAGCTGGCCCACAGAACTTTCGACCGTGCGCTAGAGGTCACGCCGATTGGAGGCATGACGCAACTGTCATGTGAGACTGAGGCTTAGAAAACCAGGGTCCTGCTATTACTATGATCTTTCGCTGTGTCCTTAACAACATTTTAAACAACATACCACAAACATGGGAAGACGTGACGATTCCCCACCGCGGCGTCGTAGGTTCTGTCTCCTCCAGTGAAGTCATCAGGCATGCTAATAAATACAGCTGAACCCTCGTACCGCTTCGATAGCTACGAAGACGGCAAGCCGAAGTGGGCGCCCCAAACACCAACAGAAGATCCTCGTGGCAACCGCGACTATCAAGATAATCGACGAGATTCGAGGCGACACAAGGAGCGCTACGAAGACGATGCGCCGCCTCCGCCTCCACCTCAAGGTAGAATTTCACGCCCAGTCAGGGCATAATATAATGCTCACCTCAACTCAGAGAGCCGACCGCGACCGCGCAGGACAAGATCATACTCGTCCGGATCAGACTCTGAAGTACCTCCGGCGAAACCTCCGCGACGAAGCAACACAACAAAAGACCGCAATCGACGCCCACGCGACCATTACGACTCGTACGATGAGCACCCTCGCCGAGACGATCGTAGGCACGACAACCGCGGCTACGTGAGCGACGATAGACACAACAGACCTCGCAAGGACTACGATGATCACGATCGTCGAGATCGCCGCCGCGACGACAGGGATCGAAGCAGGGACCGCAGTCGAGACCGTCACGACGACAGAGACCGCGACAGGCGGCGGGACGACAGAGATCGAAGAGACCGCCACCGAGACGATCGCCGTGATGACAGGAGAGACGACCGCAAGAAGTCAACACCCTACGACGCCCTCTTCTCCATGCTGGCTGCAGGCGGCGGTTCGAAGCGCGAGGACAGGGACCGACGAGACCGCTACGACGACCGCGACTACGATCGCAGAGATCGAGACGTTGGCCGATCAGGACAGCCCGAATGGCAAAAGCAGGCGATGGGCATGTTCACCGCATACGCGTTGCCCATAATCAAAAAAGAAGGCACGAAGTATCTGGCGAACAAGATGGGAGGAGGGGGGAGGAAGCGCTAGGAGCGCAGGAGTCGAACTTTGTGATTGCATGGCAATGCGATATTCTCATTTTTCTGGCGTGCATCAGGACGAACTAATGATTTGATAGAAAGAATGCATCACAGGATCACCATTTCTTCTTATGTGCACTTTCCGTGCGCAGCGCGTCCTCATGCTGAGCTGGCACGTGCGTCTAACGTCATACACGACGGCTTGAACGCGACACCACCAGCTCTCAGAGCATCTCGGCGATTGGCAAACATAATAAACAGCGAATCAATATCGAAGAATATGGTCTCAACACGCAGCAAAACAGCACAGACTCACCTCGAAGACTTTGCCACAAAGAACGGCGATTCCAAGTCCAATCAGAACCCCACATCCTCCAAACAGACAGTACCCAAAGCGAACACCTCACGGAAACGCAAAACAACCAACGCGGACACGCTTCAGAGACACAAAAATCAAAACGCAACAAGATATCACCAGTAAAGCCGTGGCGTTGAAGGTAAAGATGGAGAAATTCAGTAAGAGGAAAGGCGAAGAGCAAAGACGACGAGGAGATCGAGGTCATGCGTGCATTTCAAGCTCAAATTAAGGGGGGGTTGGCGGTTGTGGGGAGTGACGCTAAGGGGAAGCTGGCGAGTGAGGATACGCTGAGGACTAAATTTGGGGAGCGGGGTTATGATAGAGTGAATGGGGTGTTTCGGGAGGTATTGAAGAGTTGGGAGGGCGACGAGGGCGAGTCGAATGAGAGAGCGTTTCACATGTATGAGGAATTTAGGCCGGATATGAGTAAAGGGTAGGGAATGAAAGGGGAACTGAGGATGCAGACTGTCAGGAACGTGGTTGAGAAGTAGTGAGGCGACCGTTCACGAGTAGATCGAGTACGTTTTGATAATTAATACTTTACTTGAGCCTACACTCACGATCTCGATGTGCCGCAATGCTCTTCCGGGGCAACATTGTCTCAAATTCTGATGTCTATTTCCTTTCTCAATACAGTCTTCAGCAACGCCGCGAGTGCCATCGTTCCCACACCCACCGCTAGCCTAATGAGGCCATAATTTCCGCGTATTTGCAGAGGCCGACTCTACCTCGCGCTAGTCCAGCTCCCCTCCAGCTCCTCTTCAACTTCAAATCGACCCAAGGACGTCCGTGCAACGCCTCTCTATCACGCCTTCGCCGTCATGTGCGTATACTTCTTTTCACACGCACTGCCGCCACGCTCTAGCTTTTGCCGCTTCTTCTCCGTTCCCTTAACTCTTCATCTGCTCCTGTGTGCTTAGCTTTCAACCCTCGACAATCTTGTCCGCAGCTTCAAGCCCCCTTCTGATTGCCTCGAAATCTCTCTCCGCAGCCTTGATTGTCCGAAGGACGTCTCTCAGTGCCTAACTACACCTTTCCCCAGAGTTTGAGCTCTTTGAGGATGTCTTTAGCCTGTGCCTCGATGGCGTCTGCATGCTAATCACCGGTGTGAGCGGGTCTAAGGAGCTATGCTCTTTGTCCGGGAAAGAATTTCAGCAATGTTCGTAATGGGAAAAGCGCAATGCCGCTCCCAGAAAAAAGGGCGTTCCTGTTCGAAGGCCGGGGTGTGGGGGTTCAATACCCTTGTCCAACTCGAGTTTACTTGTAGTGCGCAACCGGCCCTTGGCCTTCGCGCTTACACTTTCTGGCGCGCTTACACTTTCTAGTGCACTTGCACTCTGCTCGAGAGAGCATGTGCGGAATTTGACTGACAGCTGTCGAATACTACGTCTTTGAAGCCATGGTATTGGTCGATGTACTCGGCAGTGAATGATCGACACTCCCCACTCTCTGCGTCGCATCTAGTGCAATGTACAGTATGGAAGAGTTCTCAGTCGAGCAGTCTAGGCTATCTGTGGAGTTTGATGCTCGACTGTCTCAAATTCGTTCTCATCGATGGTCTCAGCTTCGAAGGTTTCAACGTTTCAACCCATTGAGATGAAGTGGTTGATGGATATTGCATGACTCTCTTGAGAAGTATATGGTAAGCTCGAAATAATTCGCAGCAAAGGAAATACTTGATAACAAGATAGTCGAGCAGATGACAATCTCTGGGCTCCTTCAAAAAAAAATAAGTGTTTCAAGACCGTAGATACAGGGTCAAGTCGCACGAGATCAACTGAAGCAAAAGGACGCCAAGGATCTCTCTCAAATGCGGATCATTCTGGTACTGCTGTGAATACTAAATCTATGTCCGCCTAAGCGGAAGGGTTCTTCAATCGGAGTGATCCCGGAGCACATTGAGTTCACTATTTAATGGAGCTGGAAAAGATGCAGGAGAAGTTCGAACGACAGGGCGGGTTTTTGCAGCAGCTCAACCTTCAAAAAGCTCTTGAAGAAGTGAGACTATAACTTGCAGTTGCAGATTGTGACAGCAGCTGATATACATACCTCCGAGAAAGGACAGGCCAGAGCAACCTTGTTAGTGCCTCAACCCCGGCCGCGAGGCCTGTCTCAATCGAACACATACTTGGCGAAGAGCCTGCGTTTTCTTATCAACGATATTCCATATATCTTGATATTCATCTTTGGAATTCTGTCTGAGCTCAGTCTCAACCTCACCCGTGGTCTCTGGACCTAGAACAGGCCGTGCCTACTGAAGAGCCCGCAGCAGCAAAGTCTTCTACGAAACCGCGCGTAGGGTCTAAGCATGACATGATTGCTGCGAGGTCAAAGAGTGCTGCTGCAGTCCTGGCTGACTGAAGCTCCAGCGATAACGCTGCAGCTTTTGTTTGGTCGAGCTCTGGCACAGGCAGCAGCCGCTGGGTGTTACGGGTGGTAATCGTATCGCGCTTGGTCCACTAGAACTAGATTGTGTATCAAATTTTGCTGCAAATTGATCGAAATACCTCTCGTCTCTTGTCAAAAGCTCGATAGATGCCAGACATCAATGTCCCTACAGGCATCCAGTATACACCCGCAGCACGTGATACGTGTAACGCATACTTTGATGCGCAAGAAAGACGAGGTACTTTGTGATTGTAGGTGCCTCGTGGAGGAAGTTTTGGATACATTCCGGTAAGACGGGGCCCTGTACAATCCGGGGCATCCTGTCTCCCCCACGATTTCCTAGGTTACGGGGTGCCGTGCGATTTTCAGAAATCTCGGAAGTCAATATACCACGTTGTTCGCCATCGTAGAATTGGTAAGCGACTTATGAACGCAATTCGGACGTGTGCCTAGAGACTAGGGTAGATCATTGGTTGCCTGAAGGGATCCTGATTGAGGCTCTATCCGGTGAAGAGAATCAATCGGAGTGCCACGAGACGAGACGACCTGCGGCCAAGCTCCGACATTATGAACTCAGCCGCAGCGTAAACAAGCATGGTTCTCGGAGCTGCTTGAATGGGCAAGCTCTCTTCCCAGAACACTAGAATTTGAGCGGCGGCAACGCCACGATGCTTCCTTGACGGGGTCTTTAATGCGCCGCATAAGCCGCATGCAGGGCGTAGCCTTCGCAGTGTTAATAGTGAAAATGCCGAGAAGCTTGTCCGGGCGCCGTCAGTTCAATGTGGTCCTACCTAGTTCTGCTCCCTGCGAAGAGAGCCAAGGTCGAGTGAAGACTTGTCATCGGATGATGCGTGCACGGTCGATGTAAAAATCGGAGCTCCTCGTGTTGCCATCGGCAGAGCGATGAGCTTATTCTTTGCAACCTCCGGATTTCTCTCCACACCCCAAGATTGAGTTCAAAAGTCGGGGTCCCCGTGAATACGAAGCGCAAAACTACACAACGACGGCTGAGCGCTAAAACCAAGTTGTGTCCATAGATGCTCCGATGGCAGTTGCGACCTCCGAGTTGTTATCTTGAGGCTTCTGCAGGAACAGCAGCCAAGCAAGAGGCATCAAGAGAAGACTCCTTGGACGCTCTTGAAAACCGTTGAGCTTCTGTTTCGGACAGCATAGAAACGAAAAGTCATCCCATCCGGTGTGTGATGCAGGCCGCGATGGAATGAGTGTGGGTCCTAGGCAAGGCTGTGGTTGGGTGCACTGCAGCTTCTTTGGTCTAGCAACTGTGCCCCACAACTTTCCTCCACACCATGTTTTCCGCCGCCTCTCTCTTCGCGTCACCTGAGCGGGCTGCATCAATCCGCGACCCATAAACTTGCCAAGACCCATTCCGTGACTGCATCCGATACCTGAGCAGCCTCAGGCGCCGTTCCACTATGTGTCCACTATGTGGGCCAGTTATTTTTCGCTGCACGCTGAAACATTGAGGATGGCGAGCCTGCACCCAAATCAGTCACAACCTCGTGCACTCGGCCCTTCTGCACCCTGAAACCCAACCATCCAGTACTTTGGGGTAACGCCCGCTGATCGCTCACCGGTCGCGAAACACTCACGTTCACCAAACACTGCGACTCGCGACTCGTCCCTCGTTGGAAGTTCGAAGAAGCTTGACCAAGACCGCCGGTGACGACTGCCATCTCGGCCCTGCAAGCCACAAGGTCTTCGTTGGTCTTGGAGGATGTCGTAGTCATGAGCTTCGGCGCAGTGCCCAGGTGGAAACCGCTGGTGCGGGGTTGTTGCCCAGGAGCGTGGCGTTACTTGTCGGACGCTTCTCTAGGGGAGGTAGCGCGAACTGAATGCTTGACCAGCTTAGTATTGATAGAGGGACACAGGAAACCGTTGTATACGACGTGCGACAATCAACACTGCAACTCGTTCAGCGTTCGTGAGCAGGTAACATTTCAATCACACTGTGGGAATCTGGAGAAAACATGCAAACGCCGTTTTCCCCCGTGGGGACTGCAAGATCAGCGCACGCGGCCTTTCGAACCCTAACATAACTTATCGGTGCTGCACGATTCGCCCAGTGTCCCGTGGGCCGCAAGTGCACTTGCCCAAATCCAGGCTAAAAGGTTACATTCATCAACACCATAAAATCCGCCCAGCCCTTGGTATTCTTGGCCGTAAGCCACAAACCGGCACCACGAAGTGCTGTCGTGTGAATGGTTTCCAAGACTGTTGATAGTATCGCTACGAGGCAAGAATCCCCGCTAGAGAGGGATGTCGTGAGCAGGCACATATATTAGGCTGGCCGTGCCCTCCGTCTGTGACCCAGCATCTCGATCAGGCCCAGCTGTCTTACCTCAACGAGCAGCTTCTTTCCCATCTTTGTCTCAAGATCAAGCCTTTTCGACAATATGGCAACACTTCCTGGCAACAGACCTGCCGATCCTCTAGCCAAGGGCACCCTCGCAACGGCGAAGCAAGCATGGAGCGACCTCTTCAAGTGGGACCAACGTGTGGTCGTCAGGAACGAGTATGGCGAGGAGACTTGCGAGTGGCAGAAGCCTGAGCCTCTCAAAAACCCGATCAGTCTGCTCGCTCAGCTAAGCTTGAGGGATTGGGCTTACTTCCTCGTCGGTTTCCTCGCCTGGACTGCCGATGCGTTCGACTTCCACGCCCTCTCCATCCAGACCACCAAGCTGGCTGCTTACTACGAGCGAAGCAACACGTCTATCACCACCGCTATTACACTGACACTGCTCCTCCGATCTGTCGGTGCTGCCTTCTTTGGTCTGGCTGGTGACAAGTTCGGTCGCAAATGGCCTATGGTTCTCAACATGATCATTCTTGGTCTTCTTCAGATCGCGACCATCTACTGCGCTACGTTTAACCAGTTCCTGGCTGTTCGAGCTCTGTTCGGTCTGTTCATGGGTGGTGTATACGGTAACGCTATTGCGATGGCTCTCGAGAACTGCCCGTAAGTCACACCTGACTCTATTTACGCCACACTCATGCTAACTTCTGCAGGGTCAATGCCCGCGGTCTTATGTCTGGTATCCTCCAGCAGGGTTACTCCTTTGGTTACGTTCTTGCCGCTTGCGCAAACCTCGGTGTCGGTGGCGAGACGAACACATGGTGCGTAATCTCCATGGTCCCAAAGATGACAACAACCACAATTGTCATCTTCTTCTCGACATGCCATTGCTAACACATTCATAGGAAGATAGTGTTTTGGGCAGGCGCTGGATTCTCTATCGCCGTGGGACTCGTCCGAGTATGCTTCCCCGAGTCTCAGCAGTTCCTGGCGGCGAAGGAGGAGGCCAAATTGAACCCCAACCCCAAGGCGCCCGGTGCGTTCGCAAGAGAGACGAAGATGATGCTGAAGGCTGAGTGGCGCATGGTCCTCTACTGTATCTTCCTCATGACCTGGTTCAATTTCTATTCCCACACCAGCCAGGATTCGTACACCACCTTCATGAAGCAGCAGAAGCACCTCAGCTCTGCCGGTGCTACCCGTGCTTCTATCCTTATGAAGACGGGTGCATGTGTCGGCGGTACTATCCTTGGTTACACCTCACAGTGGTTCGGTCGTCGTCGCACTATCGTCTGCGCTGCTATCATGTCTGCCTTGCTCATCCCGGCTTGGATCCTGCCAACCACCGAACGCGGTCTCTCAGCATCCGGCTTCATGATTCAATTTTTCGTCCAGGGTGCCTGGGGTGTTATTCCCATTCATCTTAACGAGCTGTCGCCCCCTGCTTTCCGCTCGTCGTTCGTTGGTCTTACCTACCAGCTCGGAAACATGATCTCCTCGCCTTCCGCTCAGATTGTCAATGCTGCTGCTGAGGCCATGCACATCACGACCCACGGAGGCAAGAGCTCTCCCGCCTATGGACCTGTTATGGGTGTTGCGACTGCTATCATCGCCATTGGTATTGCAGTCACTACTGCCCTGGGTCCTGAGAAGAAGGGTCGCCACTTTGAGCAGGCAGGCCCCATTGGTTCCAACGTCGAGCCCGTCAAGGACATCGAGACTGGCAGCATTGACGAGAAGTATGGAACTCACGCTGTTGAAATTGTCGACAACAAGGAGACTAAGGCTTGAATTCCATATCGAGAACTCGCCCTGGCAGCCCGGGTCGCGGAGCTACGATAAGGACAACATGCAAATGAGGAGAGATAGAGGATCTATGATACGAAAAGTACGAATGAGTTATGAATCTATATCATATTTACATCACACTTGAGCCTCGTCGCTTTGGCTCTGTGCTCACAAACTGTTCGCACCCAATTCCTGCCTTCACACTGACCTCAGACCAGCCAGCAAACTTATGTCGGTACGGTGCAAGCTTAGTGCAGATATTACCTTCTGATTGGTTGGCGATCAAGACACCTTCAACGGATCGAGATCACTATCCGGTCCGCGTCGCTTCAAGCATAGCAAAAGTCGGTCTCGCCAGCCACTCCTCCCAGTACCCAGTCTCCTTCCTCTCATCATCCGGCATAACGGACTCTCTCCACCTGATCCTCAAACCCGCCTCCTTTGCGCACCTCTCATAAACTTCCTTCCTGAACTGGAAACAATCGAACTCGAATCCGGCCTTGCTGACCTTGACTTTCGCCTTGATGCCTACAACCTCGCCGCTATCAGGCGCGATGTACGCCGCATCGAGGACCAGAATATCGAGGCCATAGAAGTCCAGCTTCTGAATTGACATGTTCGGATCATGCGCATCAGTCGTCAAGCCAATGAATTTTCCCCCGGGAGCCATCTGCGATTCAATGACATGGAACATACTGATTAATTCGCGCTCGCTGCCGGCGTAGTTGAGAAACCATGCTGAGAAGACCAGGTCGAATGTGCCGTTGTCTGATGCTGGAAGTGAGTCAAGGACGCTGCAGTCTGCGACGCCGAAACGTAAGTTCGGGTATTGCGAGGGAGGGTAGGTGGTGAGGGCACCGGAGATCATAGTTGGAGAGATATCGTAGCCGGTGACGCTTGTGGCGCTGAGGGTGGAAATAAGGTGGGTATACTTGCCTGTACCGCAGGCTAGGTCTGTAAATGTCAGTAAGATCCGACTGCAATAGATCCGCACGTCGCATGTCAACTACTGACTATTGAGCGAAAATATGAACGATGAAGCAACACCGTGGATCGACATGTATAAAGGGAAAACGAATCTGTTATCATGAAAGGAGGCCATCATGATTTCTCACAATACCGGTACTCAACTAACGTACTTGAAGTAAGGACAGGCATAAGTTATAACATACCAAGGCATTTCTTCCCTTCCACCACATCCCCCAGCGCGCTCAGTATACTCGGTAACTCGGGCTCCGCAGCAGGTAATGTCTTAATTTCCAGATATCTCGTCCCGATCCCGTCATACTGCGTATTCTGCGTGCTCTCATCCATCGCCCTTCCGTCCTTCCCACCAGCCCCGCCATCCCGTTCGTCCTCAGTCGCGACCATAACCCTGCTGTTCGTTGCTCCTATGAGTCGTCACTTGACAAAATAGACCCTAAATCGAGTCGTGCGAACGATCCGCGAACGCCACGAGATGGTTCTTTGATATATGTAGGATAGAGTTTGGGGCTTGCACCGGGGATACCCCGCTCTCGGTTCTCAAGAATACTGCCGCAGTAAGGCCGATGCCTGGTTGTTCCACGTTATCCGCGTGGTTGTCTGGGTGGCTGACAAGCGTGGATAGCGTGCAGTAGCGAGGCTTGGTGGGCTTGGTTGTTCATGCGTTTGATGAAGTGGGAAGGGGGGTTGGTGCGGCGAAAGTGTGATGGGTCGTAATATTTTATCATTGACATCTTGGACGAACACAGTTGCCGTATCATGATCCGATTTTGCTGCGATCGATTGGAAAGTATGTGTAGACCTATTCGGGAGATGTATCTGAGGATGTTGTCATATTCAACTATCTCAGGTGAATTGACACTGGTACGTCCCCTTCCCTTCGCAAAACCTCTCCGTCCATGAAGCCATCTAAATAACATTCTCCAATCAACTTGCAGATTCTCACCGGTGCCTCAGCTGTATCAACAGCATCAACGAGCGGACGAAGCACGAATGGCACCTTCCCTCCGGCAAGAACCCATACTTCGTCTCCAGGTCGTGCATGCGGAAAACACAACCCCATATCATTGCTCTTCGTGCTGAAGAAAGTCCGCCCAGACATGGCAGACCAAAACGCGAAGATATAAGGAGTGATAAGTGGCTCTTGTCCTTGGTCGACGGAGTTCTTGACTGTTGTGAACCACGATGACAGAGCAACTCGTGACGATTTCGGTATTCTTGCGTACTTATCGTCGTGATCCACAAAGGCGTCCGCCGTGATGGTGCGCCAGAATCGCTCCTGCACTGCCCCGGGCGTGCAGTCACCATCAAAGATTGAGAAACCTGCCATCTCAGCCCAAGCTTGCACACCTGGTAAAACACCCTGGGGATGAGTCCAGTCCTGGTACTCAATCACAGAGCCTATGCGATCGATGCTGCCGATGAATGTCCCTGATAGGCAGAGAGTGTCCTCATCAATGATCTTTACCTCGCTTTTCGTGTCCCCAGCGGCGCAGTACAAGCTATACTTGCCGTAGCGATTGCGTTCGTTACTTGCTTTGACAGGGTGTAGAGGTGCTGCAAAATTCCGTACCCATGACGCGAGCTGGTAGCAATCCGACCCGAGGCCGCTACCCGTCAAATAGCACAGATCTCCTTCGGATTGCGATATAGCGACTTGCGTGATCTGCCTGTAAAGATCGCCCACGGGTATGGAGTAGTCCGGTCGTATCTTGAGGGATGGCGTGCTTCTTCCAAGCAGTGCTAAAAGGCCGTATACTTTGTCTCTTGGATCCTTGCAGAGCTTGTGTCTGAGGGACCGGATGGTATCGTCAAAACCTATTGACTCGGATCGCGACAAGAACAACATATGATCGGCGATATAAGTGTATTTTGCAGGCATAGAATTTGAGATGCCTTTGCAGCATCCTGAATTGTGATGGCTATGATTTTCTCTGGCTTGCAGAAAGTTAGACCAAGGTATCCGCCACGATCCCATGCGCACGATAGCTTTGGGACACAGCGCTACCTCTTGAATGCACCAGAGTCTCTCCCACCACGGTCTTGAGATACAGTCGATGAAGAGATTGTACATATCTCGATAAGTTGGATTGTCGTGATACACCCACTGTTCTGTGTCTTTCGTGCGCGAGAAGCCTGGTAGATCATAAAAATGCTTGTCGTGGTACCAGTGGAGTATCATTTCGAATGGGTTTCGGTCGCCGAACGACGAATTTGTCGGCCCTAGCCATATGTGCATCGAAGAGCACCGCTGGTAAATCGTCCCCATATTCTCCACCTGTACGGCACGTTCCTCGAGGTTGGCTTGATCGATGCATATTGCGTCTGTCCACAAAGCTAGTACCGGTAGGTCTTCGGCGCGGTGCAGTTGTGTGCGAAGTTGCTTGAGGCACAGTTCTAGACTGCTGGGTATCTCCAACTTTACGCCATCAACGTCGATTGCCTTCGTGTCATTTGAATCCCCCCACGCGTACGATATTGTCTCGTATGCAGGGGGCTCGCACAGAGGATGTATCGTAAGCTGACATCGAATATGGTCCGAAAACTGGTCTGGTAACAGGGTGATGAGCCGGAATTCCTCCAACTGGCGTTCAGAAATGCCTGCGAGAGGCGAGTAACAAGAAGCGCTATGTGGACCTGAGCCTGCATCTGTCATCTTCGGTATGCACAGGAGCGATGAAGGGAACGGTCGGTGAGGTTCACCGAGCCCCGCCACGAGAAACTGCCGTAGAAGAGCCGATGTCCAAGAGATCCGTCTCTCAGCAGCGTCAGCGCTCACAGCCCAGTAATGGAATGATCTATAAAAGTGGTACATGCAGAATAAAGAAGAGTGTCCCGCGGCTTGCGCATTACTGCTAGGCAACTATAAGCTGTAATGCGGACTCACAGTTCAGCTCATTTTCAAGTTGCTAACGCCGTGTAGTTACAACCCGACCTCTTGACTGAGCGGAAGTCACGAGACCGCCCTATCCGCTGGAAGCGGCCACTACCGTCTCGTACCTTTCATAGCCAAAAAGATGTAGAGAGTATAGCGGCAAAGCGTTGGACGGTGCGTAACCAGTTCTTGCGTCAGGCGCGAAAGGCCGACGGTCTCAGGAAGCTGGTTGCTGGCGGTGCACGCCACTTTGCCGGATGCTCGACTGTGCTTGGTGTAGCCGCTCGAGCTCCGCACAATGAACATGACTACAAGGTTGGTTACTGAATCGACAGAAGGAGTTGCTCTGGGGCATTTCTGGCAGATTCGACTGGGCGTTCATCGGTTGCGTATCGGATAGCTGGGGATGGGGGATTGCCTCGTTCTCCGATGCAGACTCTGTCGAATATCAGATCACGGACCTAATCCTTCAAGCCCGCTGTTGGCGAATATGGAGTTGTTCCTACCGTCATCGTTGCCAGGTGTGCCATCATCGTCGTTCATTACAGTGGCACTCATGCCTTGGCCGCTCATGTTCTGATTGTTCATGCCTTGTGAACCCATCATAGGACCGCTCATACTTGCTCTGTTCATCTGCAAGCCCAACTGTCCGTTCATGTTGTTCCTGCCCATGCTGTTGTTCATGGCGTTGCTGTTTATACGGCTAGCATTGATGGGACCACTGTTCGTATTCTGGTTGCGCATATCGTTATTGCTCATCGAGGTGTTGCGCATGCCGTTGTCGAGGCCAGCGCCCATAGGTCCTATATGCTCGGGCCCACCGAGCTGTGCGCCTTCATCCTCTTCGCCCATCCCATCCACCTCCGGCCAGAAGCGTTGCTCCAACCAACATATCTGACGGAAGATCTCGTCGCAGCGCAGCATCTCCTCCTTGCCATCGCGAGCTGTAGTAGTATTCGCAAGTTCGTCAACGAGCGCACGTGTGGCGTCTACGAACTTGTTGAACGCTGGTGATGTCCAGTTCGGGATCAGGGCCTGGTGAAGGGCCACGATGTGGTTGTCGTTGCTGGGCGTCGAGAGGGAGGTGCTGAAGGAAGATGCGTACTGCCAGGCAGAGCGATAGCACTATGTTGTCAGCGCACGAGATCGCAGTGAGTGTGGTTGGTAGGCTTACATGCTCGGTGCCCCATAGAACGACCATGCCTTCGAGAAGGGAGGCACTTGAGCTGCTAGCGCTTACGAACAGATCCAACAGGGCGCGTGTGATGGGTGAAGGAGGCTCATTGCCAAGCGCAAGGCCATACTTAGTAGCAGTGATTTCAAAAAACTGCATCTCGCGGCGCATGTTGTTTAGAGCTGAGATCAACAGGTCCATGGTTCTATACATAGGGTGAAACTGTGAGTTCTGCGTTTGCGGTAACCTGATCTTTGCAAGCAGTTGCCCTACGAAGCGTATGTACCCTCTCGAGTAGTGTCCATCTTGTACCAGCCATTGTGACAAGGGGTCCGCAGCGAGCGAGCCACAGCCAGCATGGGAGAGGAAAGGCTGTTGTGTCGCCTGCACAAACGGCCCAGCGCACGTTGTGAGGAGGTGGCCCGTCAAGGAGGGTGCGGAGTGCTGCTGCATAGGGTTCGGCGCAATGGGCTGGCCATCACGAGCGCGTTTCGTATTGGGACCACGACGGCGTATCTGAAGATTTGGGTTTGGCTGCTGACCGTTCAATATGGCACTTGGTGCTTGCGACATGGTAGAGTCGACCATAGACTGGCTGCTCTGGTTCGCGATCATGTGTGCTTGCGCTTCTGGAGAGTTGAGGTAGGCTTGACACTCCTGGAGATGTTCGATCTGCCTGGTCGTGTTCTTCGCTCTCACGAACCCGCAGTGCTGACATCTGACCCTATTGCATTTCGAAGGTGTGTCCGCATCTTGGAACTCTACAAAAGCACGGCGAATGTCAGGGTTCGCGTGTCGACCCATTGCAGCTGGTGCGGAAGGCGCGATGAGGCACTGCCGTGGCGGTCAGCATGCCGGACGGCATGAGCGTTGAGACACGCTGCTTCTGCGGGCGCAATGATGGTGATTGTGCAAAGGAGCCAGCGGAGTGGATCTCACCTCGAGTAAGCTGTCTTGATGGCTGCGTATCGTATGGTATCGTTGGTGCGCGTTGGAATGCGGTCCGGCGTTCTTACCCGCAAACTATATGACTAAGCTCAGCTCTTTCCATTCTGGTCGCCCTCAATAATAACAGCAGCCAAAGCGCGACTGCATTGCAGAAAGCCGAGACAGCGAGCTGCGTTCACAGTCCGTCGCTGTGTAATTGCATCTCGAGTTCACCATTGTAGGAATCTCGCGACTTTACATGCACTCGTGGTGGCCTCAATCGCAGGCGGAACCTTGCGAGGGTTCCTTTCTGGGCTGTTAAGTAACCGCGTTCTGTTCAAGTGGCAAGACCCTGAAATGTTTCGAGGCCACAACGGTATTCTTTGCACATGTTTCATCAGCAGCATTTTGACAACTGCCTTTAGATTGCTCTACTCGTATCTTTCTGTCTCAACATCCTTAGCTTGTCCGATTCATAGTTTCTGAACTTGTATACTGAAGAAATCGGCCTTCTTCCTGAAGTCATGAAGGTGCGACCGGTTGAAATAAGGATATGGCCGTACATCTTTGCATCTGCTCCACTCACAATCTGGGATTGCTTGGTCGTATCGTCAATCACTGTGCAATCACTGTGGTACTTGCGCTTGTACCCTCAATACCTCAATGTCTTGTCTCACCTCGATAATGCCACGATCTGGAGCTAGGCGATGGTCACGTTCTGTTTCTCAGGGACATTGCATCCTGTGCCATGCAATTCCGCGGAAAGGTTATGTAGAGTGTCACTCTGCTGCATTGCAGCCTCATCCATCATCGTCTGATGGATCAAAGCCGCCTACACCGCCCGGCTTGCAGCCACGGCAGGACATCTCCAAAGTCACGAAAACGACGATCTTACTGGTCAAGCACCTTGCAGTCCCCGACTTACCCAAGACTACCCCACAAGACACCAAGATGACGATTCAGCAGATCAGGCATGGGTTTGTGACCTTGGGCTTCGCCAAAAAGGCAAGTTTGTGGGTGCTGGCGCCAAGCTACGAGCGCACCAATGGAAACGTTCTCACGATGCTTTCGGGAGGATTCTCAGCTGGCAATTACATCGTCTTGAGTAAGTCTTGATTGAACAAGGTTTGTAAGGCGCGTGGCGTGCCCGACTCATGTTTGCAAAGCCTCAGCCGGCGCACTGGGACCCTGTTGCACCACCGACATCATCATCTTCAAGCCGCAACGAGCGAGCTGAACTTAATATACAGCCATGTACTGAGATACACTTGCATCGATAATGGAAAACAGCAGAAAAGACGCTCAGATCGATGCCCCTTCGCGAAGAGAGGCATACCTTGCGAAATGCGATGCCGCGCACTCGTCATACTTGCCATGTACCCGGAAGTCACTTGCCCTCTGCCCAAGGCCCGTGGTACATGACACTACTGCGCGATACAACATACCATCACATGGAGCTCCGCATTGATGTTCACGATATTTGCCTCCAGGCGTTTCAAGCGCGGCGATTCGCTCGTATTGCGGGAATAACGGCCTCCATCGCTGCAGGTAGCAGATCGTGAGGCTTGGCCTACAGCGATGGCGGGGTACAATTCCGACCGCGCTCCGAGTCGCAGTCCTTGAGCTGAAAAGTGTCAGATCAGCGACAGTGCTTTAAACTTGCCACCACAGCTGATCCCAAGGCTTGGGTCAGGCTGGTTGATGACTGTGCTAATCGACAGGTTGGATGGGCCGGCAGATGTCCCTTGTCCATTTCTGCCAGGCCATTGGTCAGCGGGCCTGGTGACTGGTAAACTTGCGCTGGCTTGCAGTGATTTGGACAGGAGATGAGGATCATCATGCACGTTGCTGCGCTTGATGAGAAATGGTTTGATGACCGAAGTTGGGGAGCTGGAGCAAGCTCCCCCGCATTCCTAAGTCTGACTTCATTCGAGCGGACAGGACGGACTCCGAGTGCTGAGGTGCTGTATTCAGAGGTACATCGTAAGCTACAGCCGCATGTCGAAGGTACCACACCAGCAACAGAGTACATACAGCAACGGGCAGAGAAGATTGCGATGTTCTCTCGTGTGCAGACGAACATTCTGGAAGCGCTCGATGTTAACGTGCACATCTCTCGAAGTTCCAGAACAACATCCACCGCTCTCCACGACGGCCCAAGATCTCCATCCACTTTCGGCCGCGTGAGCAGGGTTCCTGGAGTTGATTCGTCGCCTGTGCATCACCACTTTCTCTTTGAGTCCCGCTTCGCCGATCGCGCCGTCATCGCTTGAAGAACGTCACCAATCAGCTCTGCGTACCTGACTGTGTCCTCAACTCGTGCCAGTGTAACACCACATCTAAACCCTGCGCTCACCGACTCCAGGGGGACGATCACAGTCCAAAAAGCTGTAAAATCAGGGTTAGAGCTTGTGCAGTGTTTCCCGCCGGTGCGTCACCTCCGAGGAAAGCAATTCAAGCGGGCGTTTGATAGGTCGGGTATTGGAGCTCCATCCTGGAAGCTCATCCCTGGCGGAGCTTTGTTGGCAGAACTCTGAGCTTTCGGCGATCCTGCTCTCCATACCCAGGAGACATGTGTTCGTTGTCGTGGCGGATGACGGGTGAGAGATTCCAGCTCCGCACCAGGTGGACCTTCGGATTTACATGTGGGTTGGAGGGGTTTGGGGTTTAAAGTCGTGCATGTCCCCGGGTTGATGGTGCGCAAAACGTGGATGCACATTCTTGAGTTGCTCAAGTAATACCTTACCCTACTTGCATGCTTCGATCCACTAAGCTGGACACAATCGTCACATTACTACTTTGAGTAACAGTATACTGGAAACCACAGCATGGTTGGTCACTGGAGCACAGCGTTTGCTGTTAGCCTTCTTGCACTTGGCTCAAGTGCCTCCCCATTGTATGTAACGCTGATGCTTCTAGAATGACGGTAGCTCACACTTGCACAGAGAAAAAGAGAAACTCGCCAAGCGCGCGCCACCCTTTAACTACAATGGCGAGAAAGTTCGTGGCGTAAATACAGGTGGTTGGTTCGTCCTTGAGCCCTGGATCACCCCAAGCATCTTTGAGGGCAATGCGGCGAAGGATGAGTGGACATTTACAGAGATTCTTGGCAAGGATGCTGCGAGGTCAAGACTGCAGGCTCATTGGAACTCCTGGATCACACAGGACGACTTCAACCAGATGGCCAAGGCAGGGTTGAACCATGTGCGCATCCCAATTGGGTACTGGAGCGTGATCGCCCGAGATGGCGAGCCGTATGTACAAGGAGCGTATGACAAGCTCGGTGACGCTCTTAACTGGGCGAGCGGCGCTGGATTGAAGGTTATGATTGACCTACACGGCGGTAAGTTGATACGCGCTCGGACTGACAAGCATCTGCTGATGAGTTGTAGCTCCTGAGTCGCAGAACGGCTTCGACAACTCAGGCAAGTACGGCAATGTCGGCTGGACACAAGGCGACTCCATAGACCACACCATCAAAGTCCTCAACAAGATCCGCGACGACCATGCCTCGCACCCTGCCGTCTCATCGATCCAGCTCTTGAACGAGCCTCTTGGCCCGAACCTCGACATGAACACAGTCCGCCAGTTTTATATGGACGGCTGGGGTAACCTGAAAGATTCCAACGTTGCTGTTGCTTTCCACGATGCCTTCATGGGTGTCACATCCTGGAACGACTGGGGTGCTGGCATGTGGAACTTGCTCCTCGACACCCACCACTACGAAATCTTCACGCTCGACGCGGTCGCCATGAACATCGATGACCACATCAAGACCGCTTGCGCCTTCGGTAACCAGATGGCCAGTACTAACAAGTGGACGATCAGCGGCGAGTGGACTGGCGGTATCACCGACTGCGCAAAGTGGCTGAATGGCAAAGACAAGGGCGCGCGCTACGATGGTTCTTTCGGTGGCGGCTCCAAGATTGGTGATTGCACTGGCAAGTCGACTGGCAGTGTCGCTGGTCTGTCCGAAGCCGACAAGTCCAATATTGGGCGGTTTATCGAGGCTCAGCTCGACGCGTACGAGAAGGCCACTGGATGGATCTTTTGGACGTGGAAAACCGAGGGCGCTCCAGAGTGGGATATGCAAGACTTGCTTGCCAATGGCATCTTCCCGCAGCCGTTAACAGCTCGAAAATGTAAGTGCCCTTCCCAAAAAAATGCCTCAGGCAGGTGACACTCTCGCATGGGTACTGATATCTCACAGACCCTGGCCAATGCGGCTGAGCATATTCATGCTAAGGTAGTCCATCGAGCCCGAAACGAATATGGACCCTGCTCTTGTTGTTTAACCATTTCACGCTCGCTCCGCAATCCGAACCCCCTTCGCCAATTTCGTCGTGAGTTCTGATGTCATAAGTTCTGTTTCGAAGATACCCGATTGCATTCGCTCGCTAGATAAGACTTGAGAAAATTGTGCAGGTTGTCACGTGTTGGGACCTTGTTAAATAAGGCCGGACGTTTATCGGTTGCACACGCGGCGGCGCACGCAGTCATGTGTGCGATGAAATAAGTCAATATTGTGTCGTCCGAGATACCTTGTGATTTGTGATGAATGCGATGACATTCTTGTGACACCAAGAACGGTGACTTGCAATAATGAGATGCGGCCAATGGCTTTGCTGCGGCTAGGCAACGGGCAGGCGCATTTTAGAACCTTGGAACTGTTCATTTATCTGCTGATACGGGCCGACAAGCACGCGTTGGGCTCACAATCATAACCAACGGTGGCAAGCATCGTGCCGCGAACGTCTAGAATCTGGAGGATGCGGAACCCTGGAGGCATTCGCGGGTGGAATTCGCGGTGAGCAGCGCAATGAATCCTCTTTTCGTGCGACGCCTGGCTGCCTGGAAGCATCACCACTGACCCTGCGCCCACGTCGGGTTGTAAGGCTTGAACACGGCATCGCGTCTCACCGTGACGCGAATCCGGAGAACTGTCGTATCCTGTTACATCGTAATTTGGCGACTACGAATATCCTTGCAATTCACGGGCATCTGGAGCGCAGCACGGAGGCCTTCAGCGCACAATTCTTCCCAGCTGCTGCCAGCATGACAACGCAACCATCATGCGCTGCCACTTTGTTCTTTCAGCGGCGGCGTTCGAGAATTCAGGCCTCCTTCGCGCAATTTCACCAAGAATAGCTCCAGCCGAGATGGCTTTATGGACGAGAGCGACGCCAATCATAGTCGCAGATTCAGCCAGCAACCCCTTAAGCTAACGTCTGTTTTGAGCTTAACGTGATGAACAAGAGCGGACGCGCGCCAGCATTAGCCAGGAACACCCCCATATATAACAAATTAGCTCATACCAAGCCGCGCCTTACCACAAGCGTCACCCCTGCGAAATCCGGTGAGCACTCAATATAACCAAGGCTGCGCCCGGCAGCATCTGTTTCGCTTTCGTCTCTATCGCCAACTCCGACCTTGAGGAATCTGTTCCTTGCCGCTCTTTAAAGCACACCGTCACTCTTTCAACCTCAAACAACCAGTACACTCACTACCTTAATCGTCGCTTTACGCACGTTAATCAAATAATACCGACAACATGTTCACCAAGGCCTCCGTCGTTGCTATCTTCGCCAGCATTGCCGCTGCGCAGCTCCATGCCCCTGTTGGCGAGCCTTCTGGCAACCCCATCACTCGTCCTCTGAACGAGGTAAGCATCGAGCACAGCGAATACAACATGTACGACAGTGACTGACTACTCAGGTTGTCCCTGCTTGCAAGGCCTTCACCATCACTTGGCAGCCGACCACCACCAACACGGTGTCTCTGCTCCTCCTCCGTGGACCTTCCACCAACGTTGTCCCCATCCAGACTCTTGTTGAGGGTATCAACAACTCCGGCTCCTTCGTCTGGACCCCTGCCTCCACCCTCGAGGCAGACACCACCCACTACGGACTCCAGCTGATCGACGACGTCAACGGCCAGTACCAGTACTCCACCCAGTTCGGTATCTCCAAGGCCGACTGCGCCGTCGTTGTCTCCTCCTCCAGCTCTGCTGCTCCCGTCGCTAGCTCCACCCCCGCTGGCCACCCCGTTGCCTCTTCCAGCCCTGCTGGCTACCCCGTTGCCTCTTCCAGCCCTGCCGGCTACCCCGTCAAGTCCAGCCCTGCTGGCTACCCCGTTGCTTCGTCGTCGGTCGTAAAGTCGTCCCCCGTTGCTCCATACCCCACCACCGTCAAGACCGTCGCCACCTCCAGCGCCTACGTCGCCGGCACCGGTGCTCCTGCCCACAACTCCACCATCATGCCCACCGGCTCGATGACCGTTCCCAGCTCTCTGCGCCCCTCTGCCACCGGCGCCGGCAACGGCACCAGCTCAGCCACTCTCCCCGAGTCTACCGGTGCTGCCGGCTCCATCAAGGCTGGTCTCAGCCTTGTCGGTGCTGCCGCCCTTGCCGCGCTCATGCTCTAAGTTACTGGCCCCTTCAGGTTTTGTGCTTTCAAAAATTGCATTAGAGCTAATTGGGATGTCAATAATGTCATGATGCTGCGTTCCGTTTGCTTTCCTTTCTAAGATACTCCTGGTATTTATTAGGGTATACACCGCTTCTTGTCCTTTATTTTCGACCCATGCTGGCTGGGTTGTGTAGATAGTCAATGCCATCTGCACTGCATATGATCCAACGTTCTGGCCCTCGTCGCATCATGTTGTGATCTACGTCTTGAACGCTCTGACCGTTTGCATTGACCTGACCGTTGTTGATGTTGAGTCGTACGTCGTCGGGACCCTGACACCGCTGGACCCTTGGTCGCAATTGTTTGCGTCCGCATTCCACAACAGATGCCACAACAACGCTGCTGCAGCACATTCCTGCCCCACAATGTCGTCAGTCACCGTCCGCATGCGAATCCATGTGACGATCCCTGCATGTCTGCTGTTGTCGGCTGCCACAAGCGTACTACCAGTGGTGTTCTTCTAGAATGACTGAAGAAGCCTTCTAGCATGCAGAATATTCACTACCCTGGGCATTGCCCGTGTGTCTTCGTCATGGCGCCCGGTCGGTTGCACGATGATGGATATCTGCCTCTCGAATGGGCTGCGAGAGCTGTTAACACGTCCATCGTAGCAGCCCCATGGAATCGAGGCCACGCGTCTGCACCCCGTCACCCGGATCACGAGTCGACCGTTTCTCACTTCTGTTCACTGATCACATCCTCACATGGCTGTCATTGTCATTGGTATACTCAAAATGATCGGAGTGTCTTGCAATTTTGTTGCCTTCGTCTGTGGTTGCGAGTCCTTTGCTGAAGGTTAGCCAAGCAAACAACTGCCCATAGGACAAAATAGATTGCATGGAAGCCTATACATAGGTGTGGAGGTCACCAAAGGTAGCCATCGGTATTTCTACAGCCTGCAAGACCTTCTAGAGGATGCAGTCTGTGCAGTCCCATGTCCAGCTCCGTCTGCGACATGGAAGGCAATGAGCGGTTCTGGCGACAGTTGCCACTTTCGTCTATGAGACTCAATATCAACAAAAAGAATGCATCGCATCTCAAACTTATAAACAGATATCGAGTCACAGTCATGGCACGAGATGTGCTGAGATTCACGGCGCAGACAATTCGTCCGCTCTCGCCCTCGGCGTTAAGGAGCTTGGGCAATTTCTGGCGCCTTCCACGATCCGGGACGTCATCAAATACCCTCGAACCTCCGCCTCAGAGTGCCCTCCATCCCACAGCACATCCACAACCATGGCGTTCCTCTTACGGCGGCCCTTCGCCATCCCAGCAACCATCAAGCAGTCCGTGACAAGGACATCGCAGCTCTCAGTGCGCGCCCTCCACAACACGCCACTGAAGCAGCACCCGCACTTGTTCAAGTCGAAAGCACCCACACTCACCACCGCCACCAATGTCTCCAAGTTCCAGTCCGCATTCCGTCGCTCGTACCAGCAGCAGGCCATCAGCAACCCGCTCGCGCAGGGCGATGCGCGACAGCGCCTTCTCTACGGCGCTGGCATCTTCGGCGCAACCCTGCTAGGCATCAACCTGATCTTCAACCGCGAGACACGCGAGGATGGCGGCATGCCGCCTTTCGAGCGCGCCTACCTCAACGACACATTCCTGCACACTGGCCTGGGTATCGGAATCATTGGCATCGCCGCGCGCGCCATGCACATGAATGGCTGGTCGTTCAGACTCATGGCCGCCAACCCGTGGCTGGTCATGGGCGTTGGTCTCGCTGCTAGCATTGGAACCATGTACGGCACCATGGCTACCAACCCTCAGAAGTAGGTACGACTGTGTGCAAGTCAAAGGTCAAGCACTAACAGCTGCAGCTACGCTCAGAAGTACGCACTGTGGACCGCCTTCAACGTCACTCAAGCCGCGCTCCTCGCACCGCTCTTCTTCATGCACCCCGCTATCCTCGCTCGCGCCGGTCTCTACACCGCCGGTCTGATGGGCTCGCTCGCATTCGTCGGCGCCACGGCCAAGACTGACAAGTACATGTACCTGGGCGGCCCGCTGCTGGCGGGCGTCGCCATCGTCGCGCTGTCCGGTCTGGCGCCCATGGTGATTCCCGCCACGGCCGCGCGCACACTGATGTGGAGCGAGAACATCTGGCTGTACGGCGGCCTCGCGGTTTTCGGCGGTTTCACACTGTACGACGTGCAGAAGATCCTGCACCATGCGCGCCAGGCAGAGCAGGGTCTCAGGCCCAAGGATCCGGTCAACGAGTCCATCCACCTCGAGCTGGACTTCATCAACATCTTCGTCAGGATGGTGCAGATCCTAGCCATGCAGCAGAGCAGGAGGAAGTAAGCGCAGCAGAGACGGGGGGGGGATGCACGACAGAGTGCTGCAAAAGGGTCCGTAGTAGCAGATGGCGCATTCATTGCACCGTCTGGATAATAAATATATCAGCTTATCAGCATATTGATAGCGCACAATGTAAAATACTCTCTTGTTCACGCCACACATTTCCACGTCGTCGAACGTTATTCCACCCATTGCACTGGTGCCGCGTATCGCTCAATCATCCACTTGTCACTCCTCACTCCTCACTCCTCACTCCTCACTCCTCACTCCTCACTCCTCACTCCTCACTCCTCAGTACCTCCAGCAGCCACACGCCCCTCCACACTCGCTCAGCCACGCAACGATCCGCAGACGTCCTCGTGGTGCCGAAGTGCATATTCCGCAAGCGCCTGCTTGGGTCTCGGGAGATGCTTGATGCGGAAATTCCTGCTCAGTGACATCTAGCTGCAGCGTCCAGTGTCGCACTCTGGCGGCTGTAAGGAACAGGCTGGGGCGATCCTTCCTGTCTTCGGAATAGAAGATAGAGCTCTGGTCAGCCCCACGGTACCACGGTATCGCTGAGCAGCACGCTGGAGGCCCTCAATCAGCCAGCGCGCGCACGTTGCGCGGCTAGTCCACGGGCATACACCTATTCGCCATCGCCTCGCAATAGAAGCACTACTCCTCGTGCAATTGGTGGGTTGGGCATGCGCCGCGGCCTTTCATCCTCCACCACTGCTTGATGCATTTCTGGATTTCGTTAGCACTTTATCAAAAGATCATCAGCGTAGTCTACATACCTCGTGGAACTTGCACCAGCACACCAGCCTGGCCATCTCGTCGCCGGCTTGGAACTCCTCGAAGCAGATGACGCATTCGGCGTCGTTACCATCTTCGTCCACGCAGTCCTTCTCTGAAGCGATGTAAGGGAACATGCCGCGAGCCGCGTGACTGTGGCGGTGAGACGACCCTTCGCCAGCCGCTGCACTGCTCATGCCACGGGTGCGAGTCATGGGCAGGCTGGCGGATGTCTGCGCCTGCGGTCGTGCAGCAGCGTTCGGCGCCGGCGATGAGGAGTGGAGCGCAATACATTCCTCGATGTGCTGGGATCGTGCCGAGTCATCTCCATTCGGACCCTTCTCTGGCAGCTCGCCTCCGCAGATAGGACATTCGTCCTCTTCCGCGATCTGACGTCGAGGACGAGGGTTCAGCAGCTGGGCGGGCGGGAGTTGTGAGGGTATGAAGAACTGGCGTGGGAACATGTCGCCTGCTCTTGCGGAACTCGAACCCGAGGCAGAACGATGCTGGAGCGGTTGCGGGATATAAGAAGGAGCTGCGAGTGGACGTAATGTTGAGCTCTGGCTGTGCTGGCCAGAGTACACGTGGCCCAGGTTTGGCAGAGGTGCCGGCCAACGGTCCTCGTTGAGTGCAGCATCGTGGTAGCTAACACGCCGATTGCTGTTCGAAGCACGCGAGGACTGCGACTGCGACTGCGACTGCGACTGCGACTGCGACTGGCGTCGATCAGTGGCGTGCGGGACCACATGCACGCTGGAGGCGGAGCGGTGCGAGCGTTGGTAGGGCGGCACGGCGGCAGGGTTGTAGTCTGGCCTGGTGGGGGGAGTGGGAGCTGCACGGCCGGTCTGCAACGGGTACTGCGGCGGCAGGCTGTAGTTGGGGTCCGGGACACACGGGTTGCAGACGCGGACTTCCTCGCCGCCGCCCAACGCTGGGTTGCGCAAGGGGCCGAAGCTGGACAGGAGGCTCGCGTCGTCGTCGGCGGCGGTGAGGTCGATGATGCTGTTGAGGCCGTCGGTGGGCGGGTGGACGATGAACTGGCGCGGGATGGTGATGCGGTGCGGCGAGCACTGCGAGCACACGACGCGGCCGCACTTCCGGCAGTGGTGCTTTCTAAACAAGAAGGTGAAGTGCCTGCTGCACACCGGACAGGCGGCCACGTCGGCGTCAGGCTGCCACGGCGGGATTACCAGGTCGCTCTCGCGGCGCAGGGAGCGGGGTGTCTGCGAGGGCGGGGGCGGCAGGCGTCGTTCGGGCGGGGGCGGCAGACGTCGTTCGGGCGGGGGCGGCAGACGTCGTTCGCGCAGCGGCGGGGCGGGTGACGAGTCGAGCACGATGGGGTCGGCGCTGGAGCCCGCGCGCGAGGCGCTGTGTGGGCGCATACCGGAGCCTCTTCGGACGGGCGACTCGGCCGTGGTGAGACGTCGCTTGCGGTCCGCCGAGGTGCTGCTGGCTGAGGACGGCGTGTCGGTGCGCGGGGGCGGCCGCGAGGGAAGAGCGAACGGCGGGACCGACGACGACGGCGACGATGGCGACGCAGCCTGAGGGTCCATGTTGGAGCTGGATGTGCCTCCTTCGCGCAGGAAGTCGACCCACGTCTCTCCCCCGTAGCCGTCGCCGCGCAGATGGCGGTGCACATCCGGGCTGTCCATGTCGTCGTGGGTGCCGTCGTCGCTGCAAGGACTCATGCTTGGCGGGCGGGCCGTCGTTACACTGCGGCTCGCCGTGGTGAAGCGTGCTGGAGGCCGGCGTTGTGCTGCTGCTCGCCGTGGTGGTGGTGGTGGTGATCCACGTCTCAGGGCGACATGCCGCCACACCTTCTCTGCGTGCAAGGGTCTTGTTTAGTCATGCAGCCTGGCGGAATCTCCTGTGGCTAGGTATCTGACTTCTGTGTGTGCACAGTCAAGCAACCTGCGAGTCTGCACCTGATTACGAAGTACAGCCAAGTCGCGGGCGTGCGTTGCGGTGAGGCGCCGAGGTGGGTGTCATCTATCAGCACGCTAAGATAAGGAGCCGCAGTCTACGGGCCACCCGTCGATGCTTGGAGACGCCGCAATCCGGTAATTCCTCGGCAAATGCAGCGGTACGCACCACACAACCAAGGGGGAAGTGCCTTTGCAATGCTGGTATTACTAGCTATGCCTGCCATGGCAGGCTTCCCCAATCTACAAGACTTGACAAAAACCTCTTCAATCCCACTATCTACCAAGTACCTCCACCTGCGCCGTGCTCTGCAGCCCCGACCCAATGCTACCTCAACGCCAAGACCCCTTTGCTTTTGCTGCGAAATGCGAATGTATAGCCGTCATCATTACAAAATATACTATAACACTCGGACTCAGAGCTGCCTCGACCTTCGGCTCCGTCCGCTCATGTGTGTGCTGCCGCTTAGACTTCGGTCGACGATCTCGGCCCTGGCTTCGATGTCGGCACCGTCATAGCCATCGCTGTGGAAGCTGTCTTGCGTCCTGTGGCCCTGCACGTACCCAGTGCTCACTGTTCCGTGACCGCCTAGGGACGGTGGTGGTGCGAGCGACTGTCGCCACACACTCGATGCTGCCGAGTGACCTGGTGATCGCTCAGGTGAAGGCTCCGAGGACCCAAATGGCAATCGGTACGGCAATGCCCCACCCATGGGTTGAAGATGATGGTTGCTCTGCGGCATAGCGGGGCTCCCGTCCATTATCGTTGACAACCGGGACTGGTTTTCGAGAATCGCAGCTTCCGTCGATGCTGTTCGTCTGGAGCTCCTTCTCGGTATCGATGGTGCACCAACACGCCCTGGTCCGCGCGTCGACCTGCGAGATATGCGCGACCCAGCTCTACTGGGAAGCTCGATACCGCCGCCCGTCTCGATGGGCCCTAGCATAGGCGGAATCGCAGATACTCTGTTTGACGGGTCGTATGCGGAAGAGTCTTCGTTGCTAAAGTCAGACTCGCTGTCGCTTGACCGCGATCTTCTGCTCTCACCCGCAAGCACTCCAGCCGGCGCTACGCTTCGTGGTCCACTCTTTTGGCTCTTCTTGGATTCCGGCGAATCAGGATCATCGCGGTAGGGTTCTTGCACCCGTCGTGGCGATGCCTCGCCATCATGCTCTTCTTGTTCTGCTACCGCCATCATCTGCGGTGGCATTCTGGTACTCCTCACCACCTCGAAACCCTTGCTCTTCTCCTTCTTGCGACCGCCGCCCATCAAGTTCAGACTCTTGAACCACCCTGTAGCAGATGATACCGGACTCATCGGATCAGCAGGTCCCGTCTTCAACTTTCGGCTGGGCTGTGATGACAGAGCGGGTCCTCGTAGACCATAGTAGAAATCAGACTCTCGTACCGAGTAGTCGGTGTTGTTGCGACGTTCGAGATTCGGATCCGAGTCGTTCTCGCGGTTCATGCGCAAGTATGCTGGCGACGCTCGTGAAGGACCCTCGCCGACGTCGTTAGCAGCTTCAATGTCCATCTGATCTGAGTACGGCGGCCCATCGACAATGTCTGCGCTCCCTGGTGGCTGTGGTCCTCGACCACGTGTGCCAGGGCCGACCGAGTCCATAGTGTTCGTACGTACGCGGGGTGGTCTGTAGTAAGGATCTGCTGCGTCCAATGCTGGGCCCATTGTCGGTCTTCGGGAGCTCTGCCCGGATCCACCGCCGAGGAAGTTGAATGGCATTGCATTGACTCCCGGCGTGCCAGGACTGTTGCCTTCGCTGAAGTCAAACCCTCCGCTTCGACGGCGCTCGTCTAGGTCGTACGGCTGGTTCAGTAACACGCCGGAGCTGGCAGACATACTACGCGACCGACTGTTCATAAGCTGCGTGTTCTTACTCTCATCAGCAGCAAGCATCGCTGCATTTGAGTTCAGGCTGCTGCGTTGCGGCCGGTGATTCACTCGTTTCGAGAGCTGGCGTTTGCCAAAGACCTTGCTAAGGCCACCTCTGGTATCCGCGCCGGCGCCCGATAATCGTGCGATGACCTCAACAATCGTCTGCAGGGAATTGAGAAAGAAGCCAAATACCAGCACAATGGCGTGCAGAAGTAGAATCGCGTATCCGATCCAGCCTTTCGAGGACTCGGCAACACCGAGAGAAGGTACGAAGGCGACCGAAAGGAGAACGCAAGTAAGCCGAACAACCGAGAAGAAAGTATGGTAGGCGTTCATTGATGTGTTCGACTGGAAGGGCCGGAAAGCGTGAAGCGTTAGGATTAGAATTACCTCGCAGATAGCGAGCATGATAAGTTGGGCAATGCCAGAGGGCTGAATGGCCCCAATGGCAATGCCACGTATGATGGTTAGCAATACAGGAATGAAGGCAAATGGTGCGGCGTCATCCGAGTATGTGTTGTACAGAGGTCCATATGTCAACACAGTTGGTAGATCGTCGAAAAGATGAGCGCGCGGCCGTGTCGTAAAAATCAGCCAGAAGATCCAGAACGCAATTCCCATGACGCCAATGAGAAGCACCACGGCGGCGCCAACAACAGATCCGGACGATCGCGGTGCTGTAACCATCTGGAATAACGAAAGTGCAATGATTGGAAGCATAAAGTAGTTGAACACGATGCGAACAACATGACCGGCAGTGAATGACCAGTTCTTGCCGGTGAGGTCGCCGTCGTTGTTGTTGGCAATCATTCGCATCAGCCATCGTCCGACGAAGCCAAGCTGTGTAATTACGATGACAATGGCAATAAGGACGAGGAGAAAGATGGCCATGCAAGCCCACATGTCTCGCTCTCTAGTCATACCTACATATTGTCCAAGTCGAGTCAGTCCGTAGGTGCCGTTGACAATGTAGATACCGTCGTTGAGGCTTTGCGAACCATTGCCCTTGCTCACAAAGCTCTCATTGAACAGGAGAACAGACCAGCTAGCCTGGCTAATTACCGGTTGGAAAAAGCCAGGATAGTTCAGGCTAAGACTGCCTGCCAAGACGACGAACTGAATGTACTGCAGACAATCACCGAAGCCTGGGGTGACAAGACGCAGAAGGTCCTCGTCACGACCGTAATTGCTAGTCCAATGGAAGATGTTTGACGTTCCCCACGGACTGCAGGTGGCTGCAAAGACAGTCGCAACGCCCACAAGTATAAGCACAGCCATCGGAAAGTAGCAGAACGCATCTGAAAGCCGCTTGCCCAAATCCGGAGTGATGTTCGCAGATACACAACCGAGGGTGTATGCCTGCACACTGCCTGACACGATGCGCAACTCAGAGGCCCATGTGGAGAAAGCATAGGTGCTGTGGAAGTCGTGCGCTATGGTGAAGCCTGGCAGAGTCTCTGGATCGCTGGCATTGGCGTTGAAAGCTGGTCCTATAGGACAGTCTGACACCGAGTTATTGAAAGTGTTCGCGCAGAACTGTACACCCTTTGGAGTCCACGACGAGTAAGTGAGCGTCCTGAAGTCTGAGAACAGTGTCGTGTAGAGGTTGGAAGCCTTGTCGACATCTTCGATTTTTCCAAACAGTGTACTAGTGCTGTTGGGGTCATTCCAGGCGTCTGTGTCTGTGGAAGGAGGTAATGTACCCCTATTAGACTGGCCTGATACATTCCCATAGATCGTGACGTTCAAGTTGTGTGTGGGGTTGTGGGTGTCGAACGCTGCCCATACATACATGGGCGTGAATTTGAGATACGGTACGTTCCCGTCGAGGGTAAGCGGCGTCAGGCAGTTCTCGAAGTTGATGTACACGGCCTTCGCGTGTGGGAGGAACGAGGCGAGGACGAGGAAGAAGAGGACGGTCGGCAAGGCGCGCAGCGTGGACATGGTCGGATGCTGTCGCCGCCGAGGGCGTGGTGGTGGATGTGTGTGCTCGTGAGAGGGTATCTCGTGTTGTCTGCCGCCGGGATTCATTGGTGCGGCCTTGCGCTGTGTAGTCACTGCCATTATCGTCTGCAGGTCCCCTTCATGTTCAAAGCCCGCGCTGTCTCTTAATAATAACGGTGCGGCGTGCAATGAGCGCTGCAATTGGCTGACCTTCGCTCGCGGTGTCGTGGTGCGCCGAGGTGCTCGTATGACGTCGGATCGCGAACGTGGGAATGCCGATCAGGACTCTGATCGATGCTGGGGGGCGCAGGTAGCAATAGAGCTTTCGCAGGTAGCGTCAGCGCTGGCCGCACGTGGAACGGGGATGGCCTGCTCTGGCTAAAACACGGAGGCGGTGGAGAGATGACGAGGTGCTGGCAGCGCGACGGGCGCACGTCGAAGGTCGGTCTGGACGATTGCAGCCGCAGTGACAGCAGCCCTATAGCGAGTGTATGGGGTGAGAAAGAGCAGGTGCCCGTGTAGTCTCCTAAGGCAGACGCAGCGGGGATTTGGAGGCGAAGAATTGTAGCGCAACACGGTCAAGACACTAGCTTGGACGGACGGTTGGCCTCGTATAGAGCAGCGCCAGTGCGCACTGCAGCCGTATCACCTGAAAGCCCCAGGACAAAGCAATCATTAATGGGTGGCCGCAAAGGAGGCGGCGTGTGGAAAAAGATCTGCGCACGCGAACGTGTGTGGGGATGATGAGCAGACCTCAGAAGCAGCCGCACAGCTAAACAGCAGCGTGGGCAACGCTGCCGTCGTCATAGTCCGCGCTAGAGAGCTCCCCTGTCGACATGGAAGTCTTTACACTTCTGCCTACTTTTGGAGAGCCTGCCAGCCGTTGCTGGCCCATCAGACAGCGCGACCGGGCTGGTACAGGGCGTCCTGAGTGGATCGTCACTGCGCTGCTATTTCAGGACTTCGGGCGCCTGCCCGTTCTGAACGCCACCTGCGTGCGCCTTCCCCCACGCTGCCGTTGTACTGCACAGAAGGAAGGATCTGCTCGTCCATAGGAGTCGACACATCTCTCTGACAACACCATCATGCAACTCTCGTCGGCGAATGGCACCGGGTCCGCGTGCATTATCGTGTTGAGTGGTGCTGCGTGATGGATCCCGCGTTGTTGGTGCAGCACAGCCACAATGGGTAGATCAGGGAGAGACCCACTCCAGCTCACCAGTCTGTTTCATCTCGTAGGGCAACACGATCAACGCGACTTTGTTTCACCTATGCCCGCTCGTCGCTGTCGACACCCATCCGAGACAGCTCCTGCAAGCGATTCATTCGGAGTTCGTGCTGCTGAACTCATCTTAAACGAACCTCTCGATGAGTCGAGCAGACATCTGCTGCCCAACAGGTCCGCAGCGGCTGACGACGGAGCACAACATGGCAGCAGGCGATCAATCGCTATTGTCATCTGACCATTATTGATCATTCGACATGGAGCATAAATTTCCCAGCTCATGCCACAGTATCGCTGCCGGTACCATCAGCTCTACACCCATCACGTGACAATGACTTTGCAGTCATCCATGATCAGAAATGGAATTCGACATTAGCTCGGGATCCTCGACCAATTGAGCCAGTATATGTGGATGTCGTCGAGTTCTTAGAGCTTTGCAGCAGTCACACCAGCAAATCACATCGCCTATTGCGGAGCCTTGCAGCTCCGCAATTTCCAGAACCTTCAACCCGGCAGACGGTTCTCCCCGCAGCTTGCCCAACATGAGGGTCATCATCAAGCACGACTCGCATGCGTCTCTTGTCTCGTCGTTTTGCAGGGTGCCGATCCGTGCCATATCGCGTTCCTCTGCGGCGACCCTCACCACTTATGGCAGGTACCGGCACAACGAAGTGACTTTCGACCAAAGCCCCGCTCGTATCGACGAGAGATACGCCTCAGCGGCACAAGCACAACGTCGACTTGAGCCGGGGGTTCCACGCAAGGTGGACAAGCCCGCAAAAGCCTTTCTTGGCAAGAGCTAAAAAGGTTAGTCTCTGCCAGTGTTAGGCAGGTGTTGTACTCAAGGGCCTCTTGGCAACGATTGTCAAGATTTCCGCTGCGATGCTGATGCTGGAATCCGGAAGGCTAGGAGATGTTGAAAAAGGCCAGGGTTTCCGACTGAAGTCTTTACGATCGTCCCACATTCCTCCAAACTTCACAGCTTGAGGAATTGACAAAATATGGCGATGCGGTCCGCTGTCCTGGCCGCTGGCCTGCTCATTGGCTCTGCACAAGCTTTGACCATCGAGTAAGTATTGTAGATACGGAGTGCAGCATCGTACTGACTGGCACCAGGGGTATGCTTGCTGCGCCTCGCAGAAGCACAGGAAGTCTGAGTCCCATGGGTGTACGTTCTCACTTGACCGCAAAGGAAGTTACACACTAACCTTCCAGGACCGAGCCCTTTTCTCAGCGACCAGCTACAATTGGACGACAGCCAAGGCTACGACCGAATGGTACTTCCTTGATGTCGAGAGCGGCAACACTACGAAGGCACCTTTCGGATCTGAGGTTTCCGAGGTTGTCTGGATTGGCGAGACGGAAGATAGCATTCTGTACCTGAATTCCAGTAACGAGGCAATTCCTGGAGGCGTAGCTCTCTATACAGCCGATCTAAGCGCCGAGTTCAACCCGTAAGCGGAAAAACTCACAGACTCCACAAGCTAGTATTGACAGATCGCAGCACATTGGTAGCATCTCTAGGCGCACCATTCTCTGGTCTGAAGGCTGCGAAGACCACTGATGGCTCCATTAACTGGGTCGCCAACACGCTCGCCTACTGGAACAACGGGTCTGCCTATAACCCTGAGCTTGCCTCCAAGCCTAAGTCCGCAGGACAGCTGTACGATGCAAACTTCGTTCGCCACTGGAACTACTACATCACCGAGCAGCGATATGCTGTGTTCAGTGGCAGCCTTGCTAAGGGCAATGGTAGCTACTCCTTCAATGGAAAGGTCACCAACCTGCTGAACGGCATCAACTCTACCATAACCAAGCCGGAGAGCCCGGTTCAAGGATCTTCGAGCGATCCTGGTGACTACGAGATTTCTCCTGACGGCAGCAAGGTGGCCTTCCGCAGCAAGTCTCCAGATCTGCCAAAGGCCAACTACACAGCAAGTTATATCTACGTGGTTCCTCACGATGGCTCCGAGGTGGCAGTCCCCATTAACGGACCTGGCACGACCGCCCCTGAGACCGCTCAGGGTGCTTCTACCTTCCCCACATGGAGTCATGACAGCAAAAAACTGGCGTATGGTCAGCAAGACGGCATCGACTACGAGTCTGACCGTGTCAAGCTCTATGTTGCAGGTATCAATGGCTTGAACTCCCAGGTGCATGCAGTTGCTGAGAACTGGGATTCATCCCCCTCAGGCCTCAAGTGGAGCCCCGACGATGCCGATCTCTGGGTTGTCTCTGAGCTCCATGCCTCAAACCGTCTCTGGCTCGTTCCTCACGACGCCCCTGCTGACTTCAAGCCTGTGAACTTCACCGGACCTGACACTGTGCTGTCCGACTTCGACATCCACCCAGACGGCTCCGCATTCGTCTCAGCTGCTGCCTCGTGGACAAGCCGTATCTTTTACAAGCAGTACCCTGGCCAAGACAAGAATGTCATTTTCACAGCTAACAAAGTTGATCCCGAGCTTACTGGTCTATTGCCCAACTCGACCTCCAATTTCTGGGTAGAGAACGAAGATGGCGACCAGGTCCAGTCCTTCGTTTTCTACCCCACTGACTTCAACCCCGAGGAGAAGTACCCTTTGATGTTCATCATACACGGTGGACCTCAATCCACCCAGGGTGATAACTGGAGTGTGCGTTGGAATCTGCGTCTTTGGGCAGACCAAGGCTTCGTCGTCGTCGCAACCCAGTTTACCGGCTCGCCCTCATACAGTCAAGCCTTCACCGACAAGATCCAAGCAAACTGGGGCGGAAGTCCATACAACGACCTCGTCACCGTTTTCGACCACATTAAAGCCAACATCTCATACATCGACACCGACCGTGCCATCGCCGGCGGTGCATCCTTCGGCTGCTACATGACCAACTGGATCCAGGGCCACGCTCTGGGCCGCGAATTCAAGGCCCTCGTCTGCCACGACGGCAAGGTCAACCAAGTTGCCAGCTACTCGACTGATGAGCTGTGGTTCATCCAGCGCGACAACAACGGCACGATCTGGAACGATCGCGCCAACTACGAGAAGTGGGATCCTATCATCCACTCGAGCAACTTCAGCACGCCTGAATTCATCATCCACAACGACCTCGACTACCGTGTGCTAATATCCGAAGGTCTGCAGACGTTCAACATCTTGCAGAGTCTGGGTGTGCCGAGTCGCTTCTTGCATTTCCCCGATGAGGGCCACTGGGTCACGAAGAGAGACAACAGCTTGCTGTGGCACAAGAGCATTTTTAACTGGATCAGGTACTATGCTGGTCTGGACGAGGAGCTCATCCAAGAGGGTGTTATTCACCAGTGATCGTGTCGTCGTGCACACACCCCGTACTACGCTTTCAGATACGATGATTAAAGTAGCTACGCAAGATGTAATAAAGTAATGTCAAGAGCATTGATGAGCTTACTCGCGCCGCGCTGCATGTGCATCTCACTCTACCCTTTGCCGAAACAGGAAGCTGACTCAGGCGCAGGTCCAGCGGAAACTAAGCGACGTGAATACTTTCGTGTTCCGAAGAGGGATTCGTGTAGCACGGCGCCGCGTTATGGGATGGGTGACCATCGGGGGAGGCACCTCACCAATTTCGGCAAGACTGCGATGCACGTGTTTTCAGGTCCTGATCTAACGACAGGCCTCCTCGACATGCTCGCGATTCTCGGAGCCTTCCGCCTCGATGGAAAAATAAATCCTTGGAGAGGTGTTGAGGCTGCTGTGCGACGCTCGCTCCTGGGAGTGCGAAAAATCCGGAATGACCACACCACTTCACCAGCACTCTCTCTTCTTTACTCTAGATCATCATCAAATAAACTTTGAAATCCCGCATCCATCGGTATCTGGTAACGATGAAAAAACAAATAGCTTACCGCCGTCCCCACGATGTCAAAACTATCAGGTGCGCACGCCAAGCACGACTCTTTGCAACCCTCTCGGCCCCTGGCTCTGTCAGCAGAACTGCGGAATAATATATACGGCGCACTCTTTCGGATTGGTGAGCCAAAAAATCTACTGATGGATGTGAACTCTACCGACGACTTTGAAGTCTGCGGTAATGATGTCAGCGCCCTGCGACTTCACCTACCTGGCGCGTTTGCTCTCCTCTTAAGTTGTCAGCAAATCAACAACGAGGCTATGGAGTTTCTGTATTCCAAATTCACATTTATGGCGACCTGTGAATGGATCCTGATTCCATTTACGAATCGCGTTTTTGGCAGGCACGACGACTTTCTCTACTATATCTTGACTAAGACGACCGAGTGGCTGCACCCGATTTGCACGCAGCGAAGACTAGTACAAGATCTGCGAATCGACCTGAGGCCAATGATTTCATATAGATTGAGGGCCTTCTGCAGCTCTCTGAATATGGCGCGGTTGCTCAAGTACACCTTCGGTCCTCCGTATCCTTCACTGTGCAAGCGGATCTCGAGTCTCAATTCGCTGGGCGTCGAAGGCTTCACCTGCAGAAGCTCAACCTATTCTTACAGAGTGCACAAAATCATCTGAGGCCCCGGGTTTGTCTACGCTGCTAGCGTAGTCTCTGTGCTTTTCGTTTAAAGGTCGACGGATCTGTACTTTCACTCGAATTTTGCTCACACCGCAACGGACACTACTACCAGTATGACTTACATGTGTCGTATGATGTTGGTAATCGCGGTCAGCTCATGCTTAGGGTTCCACAGGCAGCGACCTTCGAAAGTCTTCTTCAACTAGTAGAAGTCGGAGGACGTATCATAAGCTTGGCAACTCGAGGCGAACCCAGGAATTGCTCTCCTACCTTATCACTTGATCTGGTTGGACGGTCACTGTTGAATCCGCGAGGCTCAGACCCCTTCCAGAGTCCAGTAGATGTATCACTGATTGTTAAGCACATGGATATTTTTCACCCTTTCCAAAAACTCAAAGAGATGTTTGGACAGGGTCAGGTCGTCGGCTACTATGGAACAATCCTTGGTGATGCTGCGCGTTTGGCTCAGGACTTGCGGCATCGGGATCAGATCTAGAATACTTGCTTGGGCCAGGGCGGATGAAGGCGTATTTGAAAGATTACGCATACATAATGATTCGCCAAATCGAAACTGCTATAACTTTGGGAGACAAATTGCATGCACATTCGATGCTTTCACGATAGTGATGAAATATGGGGCGTTGGGTTGGTGTAAGAAGGATTGTTAACTGGGGTGGAGGATGCAAGAGCCGGCCAGGCGATACTTGAACCGTGTTACTCTATATTCGACCGCCGTTACATCCACAAGACAACATGTCGCTCATTGAAACGTGAGTCACACTCTGAATCGACTTCTCAGGATATATTAGCTTAACGAAAATGAGAGGGTATAAATATTCCTTATCTGCACCATTTTGACTCCTGCATGCACCCTCTACAAGAATGAAAAGTACACCTGCTTCGCAGATCAAGACCGGTGGTGACGGAAAGTGCATGTTACATAGCATCTCGTATCTATTGCCTGCTTTGCGAAGGCCCCTTATCCTCAGCACTAACACTTTTACCTTCATCATTTGCATCTACATATGCATCTGGGAGGCTCGGAAACGCACTGTCTTTCCTGGGCATTTCTGTTGAGAATGCACCGCTTTTCTCCAGATCGATGTCGCCCTGAGTGACCTCTAGAGTACTGCGAGCCGGCGAAACGCTGGTCATCTGATTGTCCGGATCGTCGAAAACGATCTCTGCATCGCCAAGTTCGCGTTGGATGTAGACATCAATCGTGGAAGTTCTATTGGATGTCGAGTTAAGAATCTGGTTGCCAAACCGTCTACCGCTAAGACGATGACGTGCACGCTGTGCCGAGGCAAACATATAGTTGTTGCGTGTTTGCCGGACTTGTTGCATGGACTTTGTGTTTGTCCAGAACGATTTGCAAAACACTGCAAACCGTCAGCAAGTTTGAAACAAAGTATGATCTGGTGCTTTGGTGACGACTTACTTGGCCGTAAAGCTGCGGAATTGACTGCCACTATAGCGATGCAAAACTCGCGAACGCCCCAGCGTGCGATGTTCAGAACAAAAATGTTTGGCACAACTGTGAGCGATACACGAATGATGCTTGAACTGTTTGTTAGACACATCCTCGGCGCGTCGTAGAAGTTTCACGTACCACGCTGCGAGAACAAACACCCCGGAAGCTAGAAGTATAAAGACAGCAAGGCGACTGCGTCCATCAGCTAAGGTAGAATGATGGTGTCAACTCAAGTGTGGCTTACGTTCTCAGGGGCTTGTTTAGGTTCCAGAGCAGTGAGACGGGGACGCTGAGGAGCTGTTTGTCGTCAGTGGAGTCAAAGCTATTTGTCAGATTAAGACGACCCACGAAGACATCTGTCACTGCATTGACACAGCTCGTAGCGATGAGGATCTTGGGCGAGGCTGTGCACTTTATTGGTGGTCGTGGCACAAGCTGCCATCTTTGGTGGTATGGTAAGCACCTGAGGGTGAAGCCCAGGGTCAGGGCCGTAAACCCAAGGACAGAAAGACCTGTCGTGGTCATCAAGACCCACTTCTGCCAAGGTTCGTAAAAGATGCGTCGATATAATAGCAACACGATGCCCTTAAGCGTGAAAATCAGGACAAGGCTGGAACTTATTAGCTCTGTACCCAACTTCCGAGGGTCCATACCTACTAGGCATACCAAGACCCTAGGAAGAGTTTACTGCCGTAAACCACTTGATCGTACTTCATCTGATCGAACTTCTCGATCTCCGTTGCTGTAAAGTCTGTGTTTGTTCCTGTGTAATATGTGATCTGAATGATAGTGCACGTGTACGTCCAGGCCATCAGTGCAATAACGGCAAGAGCGTCGTCTAGTCGTAGGCCGCTAATACCGTCAGTGCGAAGGCGGATGGCGAATCGCAAGAGGATCCAAATGGTGCCCAGGGAGTATAGACCCCACACTTCTGGCAGGAACTCGCTGTCCCGTGCTGGTGCCATGCTATATGTATGTTATTGATTGTGAAATACGCGTGAAGAGCTCGAAGACTCCGACGGAAGCAGTAGTCATTCGATTGTTATATCCAGGTACCGGTAGATAATTAGGCGCTCAGTTCACGGCTCGATCTTGCATATCGAATGTCTGGTCGACCACTATGCTGAGTGAGGAAAATGACTTCTTCGTGCATGAGAACTGACACAACTAGAACTCGGTCGCTGAGCTTTATGCAATGATATATTGGTAGATACCGGAGCCGTCCGCCATGGTTCGTCGGTCGAACGAAGTGAGAGTTCAGAGCATGGATCGGAGCATATTTGATGAACGGATACGTCGTTCCTACAACTCCGATAAGCTTTAAGCACAGCTCAAGGAAAAGCTCGGAAACCGGACGCGTTGGCAGCGTAAATAGAGTTTGCGGAGTTGGGCCCGACATTAATCTCTGGATCTGGTAAAGAGTTGAAACGCCTTCCGCCTGTTCCGAACACATGGAACCATGCTTCATTGGAAATCGATGGCATTTTTCACCGCATCAGTGCCGACTCTGGAAGGCTTGACGAGGCATCGATGTTGTTATTGGATAGCAAGAGCGGCAGAGACAGCCGCAACGAATGGGAACTGAACGGTTGATCACAGCCTAGATTTCAGCTGTTCTGCTCGTTTATCCCACTCCCAATATTCGCCCTTGAACCTCGTCTTTTCCCATTCTTTGTATATCATTTTGCTTTTTCCTTCCGACTTGCTTCTACACATTGTATCCCAGACCAAAAGTTGCTCTTTAAATCCAGGGTTCGGGTCACATACAGGTCTGCCTTCGCAGAGTTGGGCAAGTGCCGACCCCGCGCTGAGGTGATACTTCCACATCAGATACGCTACTACCAGTGTAGCTGATCGAGATTTCCCCATGGCGCAATGCACGAAAACGCCTCCTGAGTTCTCATCTTTGCCGTTCGTGGATATGTCCTTCCTGTTCTCGATCTTCGGAACCTCGTTGAGCGCTCGATCGATGTACTCCACCGCTTCAGGCAGATACTGAAGTAAGTTTTCGTTGGGATGATCGTCCGCTCGGATATGAAAGTGCTTGAGATGAGAAAATTTATCCTGCAGCAAAGGGTCGTAGTCGATTACCGACAGCACGTGCGTGATACCGGCTGCATCGATCAAGTCGGTCTGGTAGAGCGCATACAGCCCGCCGATGTAGAGATTCCCAGCCCGCGGGACCTTATCAACCCAGCCCATGCCTGTGTGCGAAGTACTGCCGTGTAAGAGATAGGACATGGGATGTGTACAGATGCTGGGGAAAAGTGTGATGTTGGTCAATCGGCTGCGCGAGAGAGCGCGTAGAGATCCTCGGACGAGGCGAGCAGGAACTGCGAGTCGTACCGAGGTCTACCGGTACCGTAGCGCGAGTTCCTAGGCCAGCCGTACCTCGGCGAGCTGCATAACCTTCAGGAACGATGTAGCTACGTTTACATTGCCTTTGTGTTTCACGCCGCTCGAATCCGATTGAACAAGCGAAATAATGGAGAGATCGATCCTATTGGGTCAGTGGCCGACCTGGGCATAGTGTTTTTTCTTAGCACATTCTTTCTCCCTCCTGGGCCCAGCCACCGTCCCTGAGACGGCCGTCCTTGAGACGTCCGTCCTCCGTCAACTCACAAACGACACTCGACACGTGATAGTCCTTTCTCGCTACAGTCTGAAACATGGGAAAGACTGGGTTTACGCAAGCTGTGCTTCTGCGACTAGCTGAGGTTTTGCGATACCTATCATGAAGTCCAGCACGGCGTATGTGAGCCTGCCAGGTCGCGACTTTAGTTCCCTCATCATTTCACCCTCTTCATGGCCAGATTTCCTCTTTGCTCTTTGCTTCCATCAGCGAAACATGTGCGCTTCCTTCCTCGCCGCTTCCTCGACTTTAAGTCCTGTGTTTCCTTCTCCTCAATCCCACGTGTCAACATCACTTTTTGCCGGTGCATGCTGCGGTGGAGCCTGAGCAGCTATGGCAAAGTAGCTACGAGGGGTTATGTCAACTGCCTAAGGCAGCTTGCCTCGTGCGAACATGCGACGGGTATTGGGACCATGCACTCAGAATTACGTCTGCAGACAGTGCATCGTCGTTGCAGTGGAGGCGAGGCTCACAAAAGGAGGACGTTGTAATGCAATCGCGGACGAGGATGCTGCTTCAGGAAGCTTTGTGCTTTGGGCCTGTTTCGCAGTTCAAAGAGCTTTAGTTAAATTGCAGTGAGTTGCGAACTTGGTTGACTCGCTGTCCAGCAGTGTCTCTCTGAGGAGAGAAACAGGCTGACTTAGTCAATTCAACACTACGCGAGCTTACTTTGAACTGTTTACAATCATATTGTCTTGTCAGCAGGCGATTCTTATCACGTGCTGGATTGGGCGATTGTCACTGGTGAAGTAAACAAACGAGAAGCTCGTCGAAAGCGGCTAGCGCAATGCGCTCTTTTCATCTACAGCAAACACGCCGCTCTCACCTTTGTGATCTCAACTTGTTCTGCCCTCTCGCCTTGATTCTCTCTACCGGTAATCTTGTACGTCCTTCTGGATTACAGCCAGAACCCACTCTCGGGGTTCCATCTAGTATCCGCATACACGTCGCTGGCTAGTGCCTCTCCATTTGAAGTGAAGATGGCGAAGAAGACGTGGCCACCAGCCTCTAATGCATTGCGTGTGGCATTCGAGTAGTTCGTCGTTTGGTGTAGCGCCTTTCGAAAGCGCGTCGATTCTTTGACGATTCGCTGCGTCAACGCCGATGCTATTGCGTTCTGTCATACTCCTAAGGCAAGAGGTCAGGTCGAGGATGCATACTGATATCGTAATCCTTGGAGCTTCGAGCTTCTCGCTCTCAGCAAGATCGAATGCTCCATACACAGGTTGGCACCCGCGACTATCAACGTTATCGATACCTCAAATCTGTTGCGGCAAACGTAGCCGCTGTATATCGATGGAAAACTGCGCTGAGTTGCTTGCTAGCTAGGAGGCGACCATATATACATGCCCTGAGACGTGCTAGTCCAAGGTAGTCAACGGAGGTGACGATCGAGGCCTGTCAGACTGACTTGCACCGCAACACCCCCCCCCCAGCTGCTGTGAACAACAAAGCTGAACGTTGTACTATTAGTACTATTCTGTGAGACCCGCTAGGTCTGGAATATAAGCGTCCTGCGAGCATTATATAACGTAGCGCTCTACGCTTTCTAGGCCTAGCTGTTTAACAAACTTGTAGTGCCTCTGTTGTACTAGAGTCTTTGTAAGTCTGTCTGCTGGCATGTCTGCAGTTAGACACCAGGCTACATGTAGACGCTGTTGCTGTACTTCTTGCCTTAGCCACATCTGATGTGAGTCAACGTGGCGCAGCTTTGTATGTAGCTTGTCCTCCTGCTTTATTACTATATCTACTGTCTGCTGATTATCACAGTAGATAACAGGCTTCACATCTAGCTTGAACTTGACGTGATTAAACACTCTGTTCCACCACTCTATCTCTCCTCCAGCTACTGAAAGAGCTATAAGCTCTTCCTCTGTAGTTGACTTTGTGACTGAGCGTTGACGTGTAGCCTTCTAATCAACACACATGCTGTACATCTTGAATAGATATCTATATAAGCTCTGCCTTAACTCTTCATTGTCAGCAAACGCTGCATCAGATGCTCCGTAGAATGGTGATAGATCGTTAATTTAGCTAATGTAAGTGGTGTTGTTCTTTGCTCTATTGCACGCTCTAATAGCTAGGTACTTAGTACTAATCAGATATCTCCAGACGTGCTTAGCTGCTGCTAAGTGCTTCTGTCCAGGGTTCTGCAGATACCTTGCTAGGACTGAGTGTGCTCGCGACACGTCAGGCCTTGTAAAGGTAGAGATGTAGGCTAGTGAACCCACTAGCTGCTGGTACAGCTGCGTACGTTCAATGCTTGCCTCCTCAACGCTAGGCAGCAGATAGCTGTCAGTTAACAGTACTGCTGGGTATCTCCCTGATGTCTAAGCCAAGCCAAATCTGGTTAACACCTTGTTAATAAACAAGGCCTGGACTAGCTAAATAGTTCCTGCTGTCTAGTCTCTTACTATGCGTACGCCCAGGAACCACTTAAGTTCTCCTAGGCACCTCGCGCTATATGCTTCTTGAAGCTTTCTCTCAAACTGGCTGTGATAGCTAAGGTATTGTGGGTGCACAAGGACGACGGTATTATCCACATAGAAGAATACAATCAGCTGGTTACTGGTGAACAGACAGGGCACGTCCTGCACTGGCCTGAGGCCTAGTCTTGTCAGCGTGTCTCTAAGATGCCTGTACTAGAGTAGTGGCGCATCCTTGAGGCCATACAAGGCTCGTTTGAGCCCAAGTAGCTCTCCTATCTGGCCCACAAACAGCTCTGGTGTACGTACGTAGACTAGCTGTTTAAGAGGTGCGTTCAGGAAGGCATTTAGCACATCATACTGATATGCTTGCAGGCCAAACGTAGCAGTTATTGCTATTAGCAGGCGGAACACCCTTGCTGCTAGTGTCGCTGCATACGTGTCTCCCTAGTTATCCTGGGGGTCTCCTCTAACGACTAGCCTTGCCTTGTACTTGTACAGGTAGCTGTCTTTGTCAAACTTGTATGAGAACACCCACTTCAGAGGGAGTATCTGTGCGTTGGTTGCTGTAGCTGTTGTAGCTGCCGTAGCTGCTGTAGCTGCAAAGCAGCCTTTATCTGTACAGCTAGCGAATTCTGCACGTGCTGCATCCCTGAACTCGTGTCCAAATGGATGCTTGTCTAGGTCTTTCTCCAGCGTTGTGGAGGTGGTGGGAGTTTGTCCCTCTGTAATCGTGTGCTTGGCTCTTCGCCGAGCAGTTCCTTAGGCTCTAATGAGTTGACAGCTACAGCAAATGCTGTGTAGTATGCACCTAGCGTACATTGCTGTCTTCGTGACGTCAGAACATTTGATGCGTCAATCTGGCTACTGATTTCTTCCTGCCTTGGTGCGTTATTTGATTGGCGATCAGGAGCATCTGCTTCAGGTGCTAAAGCTTGCCAGCCTCGTGGCAGCTTGTTCTCCTGACTGCTCTCTGACTGTTCGTTCAGCTCAGGCGTGCTCTCTAGCGTCAGTAGCCACCTTGCTGTGCTTTCCTTGTCCAGCTGCTGCTGTCCCGCAGCCTCACCGAGGAGCTGTTCCTGAGCTTGTTCTGCTTCTGACTGTCTGTGCTCTACGTCATCAGCGTTGCGCAGAGCCTCATTAGTCTCTTGCTCATCGTCCTTAGCCTCAGGAATATTAAGAGTAACCACTATCTCCCGCAGTCTCTGACAGCTGGGGTAGGCTTCCTTAGTCCTATCCTTAGGTGGTAGGAACACCACGTCTCGTGTTTGTATAACTCGCTGCAGTGTAGGCATCCATACCTGATAGATATTCGTTGAGTCATAGCCTACGAGCTGGCCTATGAGCGCTCTTGATGCTAGCTTCTTACTGCGCATCAGTTTAGTATTTAACGCGTACGCTCGAGCACTAATAGCTGCTAAATAAGCTACTGTTAGCTTGGGTTCGTGTACAACCTTATAAGGAGTCTTCTAAGCTAGTGCTTCTGTAGGTGTTTGATTGAGCAGGTATACAGCTGTTATGCAGCACTTGTTGGAAAGCTCCATAGGCAGGTCTCCGCCTATCCTGATAGCTCGCCCCCTCATGACTATGGTGCTGCCAGCTCGTTCTGTCAGCCCATTCTGTTCCTCAGTATACTCAGCTCAGGGCTCTACTACAATGCCAAGTTCTATAAACATCTGTAGCATCTCACTGTATCCTTAGTTGTTGTCAAGCCTCACAACTGACACATCAGCGTGGTACTGACGCTTGATCTTCGCTAGCAACCTTTAAGCTGTACGCTTGAGCGTTGCTGAGGACTTGTCTGGCAGGCAGCAGGCCTCGTGCCAGCAACTGTACTGGTCAACTGCATGGAACATCCATAGGTCTCTGTTGTAGCAACGCTCTGTCCTTTCACGCAGCTGTACAAGGTCGACACCTAGTCTGTAGAATGGACACTCAGCTGGCTCCTGTGGTGGTCTTCTGCTCACAAGCTTATGTAGCTTTAACTGTACACACGTCCTACACTCTTTCCACTGAGGCGCCTTAGGCTGTTTAATGACCTTAATGTCATCTACCTGGCTGTTAAGCTGAGCAACTGCTTTTTGACTGATGTGGCCAAATAGTCTGTGAGCCTCCTCTTAACTAACTGATAGTGGCTTCCTATTGTTACTTGATAGCTTAGGGACTGTATAGCGCGTTGAATATACTGACAGCAGAGCTGGCGGCGGCGCCTGCTCCTTCTCGTCATCAATTAGCCAGTGCCCATCCTGATACTGCAGCAGACATATTACGTTTGACTGCTCGCCCTGATACAGGCAGTCACGGCCAGAGTCGAAGTGAACTCCTAGAGGCCTGCTACGCGACAGTCCTACAACGCTTGTGAAGAAGCCAGGGATATAAGCCACGTACGTCAGCTTCATCTGGCTCTGTCCTGTTAGCGTCTTTACGCTGAGCACTACTTCGCCCCATTCTTCTATCTGGGCTAGCACTCCTCCTGCGTAGAAGTAGTCTGCAGGCTCTCCCTTCTTGATAGTAGTCCAGTTCAATCCTCTAGTGTTTGTGACATGACAGTTCGAACCTGGATCTAGTATCCACCTAGTGAGCAGTGGCGGCTGAGCTTGGTTAGCTACAGCTGTAGCCTGCAGCATTGCGTTGCAGTGTGTTGTGCTTTGAATTGGCTGGCTGTTATCCATACTGATTACTGACTGTTTCTTAACGCCCCCTGACAGCTTGTTCTGCTTCCTTAGCTGAGCTTCTGTGCGTTTGAGCACTCTAGCTACAGTGCTATCAGCCTTACGCAGCTGATTAAACTCTTTTTTAATTGCCTTGTCTGGCTGCTAGTTTAGCTGCCTTAGACTGTAGTTGACGTAAAGACAGTCTTTAAACATGTGACTATCTCTGCAGAGGCAAATTACGCGTTGTGCAGATCCTCTTTGTTGCAGCAGATATCATGCCTATTTTACCAGCCAATTCAGGGGTGCAAATGTATGTACATTTTGCCTCTATTTTGGCTGCAACACTCTTAGGGTTATTAGGCCGTCTAAGCTCTCTGCTACATCCAACGTCGCAAATGTGCCAATAGATGAGGCAATTAGACGTGTGCGCTGATAGTAGGACTGAAATTCAGCCACAAGATCAGTAGTTGACGTGTACTGCTCTCCTTGGTGGTCCTTCTTAACAAGCTCCTGCAGCTGCGTAGCTGCCCAGCTGTCGTCAAGTCCCCTAATTGACAGTATGAAGTCCTCCTGCGATTAATTGCCATCAACTTCTGGCATCTTAGCTTCTCTTAGGAGTCTGGTGATTGTCACCCACTCATCAAGCCACGTGTCCAGATTCGCTTTCCTTGGCCTCGTACAGACAGCTCTGTAGCGGCTGCGTAGCTGGTGGTTTTGCTCACCTACTGATGGACAGAGGTGCTTCTTCAGCGTTGTCAATTAACTGTACGGGCTTGAGCAGTCAACAATAAGATCTAGATGCTTGACGTTGATTGTCCTAGCAATCTTAGAGTTGAAGCTCCTCAAGGCCTTCTCTTTCTGCAGCCATCTTGCCTTGTCACGCTCGTACTTCCTAGTCCACATGTTGTATACAGATATCTCTTCAGCAGATAGATCCTCAATATCAATATCTTCCTGCTCTTCCTTAGATACCTGTGTCTTCTTGAACCTCCACCAAGGCTTCTCCTGTGGCTTCTCGTCTTGTAGCTCCCTCAGCTCCTCTGCTGATAGCCCTGGGTCAATGTACGGCCACAGGCCGTCTCTGTCTGCTGTGTCCTTTCTGACAAACAGCCATCTCTCCCAGTCATCAGGCTTGCTGAGTATAACTGTTGTCTTTGTCACTAGCTGGTCCTGCTCATACGTACTCATGACGCTCTGCAGTGTCTGCTCTGTGTGACGCTTTAGATTAGGTTTCGTGTCAAATAGCAGTTAGCTATCTTGACAATACGATCTACTTCCAGTCGTACAGGTTGTAGATAAATGGGTGAACGCAGCGATTAACTGAAGGCTTCTGGGCTCATAACTGTTGCGGCAAACGTAGCCGCTGTATATCGATGGAAAACTGCGCTGAGTTGCTTGCTAGCTAGGAGGCGACCATATATACATGCCCTGAGACGT